CTTGGGACAATGGTAAAAAAGGGAAAGAAAAGAACCTGGCGCGCAGGTGTGACGAGGAGGAACAATGAAGGAATTGCCGTGGAATGCGATTGACCGCTACATTTCAGGCCGTTTTCCCGTTCACGGTTATTTATTGGGTAGGGCTTATTGAATTGAGAAGAGTAGGATGAATATGATTTTAAAGGCTCAAAAAATGGTGAAAAAAGGGAGAGGCAGCAAAAAATGGTGCATAAGAGCCAATGAAATGGCGCAAAAATGGAATATTTCAGATATTTATTCAGAAAACGAGCTTCTGATTAACAAAAAAGCACATTGATAATCTTAATGATCATAAAAAAAGTAATTGAAAAAAATGATCAAGACAGCCACTTTCCTTTGAATTTTTACCCAATAAGATTTTTTTGAAATAAGCGAAAAAAACAAAAGTTCCTCTCCAAAAAAATTTCCCAACCCCTTTTTTTCTTCTTTTTCAATAACTTTAATGAGTCACTCATTTTTCTGAAATATTTTTTTCCTTATTTTTTTAAAAATATGGTTTATGAACTCCTTAAAGAAGACGTTAACAATAAAAAAAGCCGTGAAAGCGCTATTTTTTTCAAATTCTACTGCCCCTTTTTCCGGTTTTATTTTTTTCGGATCCCCATGAAAAATACACTCAGAAAAAAACCATGAAGTAATCGAATTTAAAAAAATTGATTTTTGAATTTCTGCCTAAATCTATGTAGTTCAAAAGATCTTTAAAAAAAGAGCATGAAAACTTCATTTCTCGCCTAAATATATATTTTCTGTTTTCGAAAAATTATTTAATAAAATCAAATTTGTTTCCTTCTCAATTATGTAACAATGCCACGAGTTCGAAGTCCATTCTCAAAAGTACCCTTTTTTTTTGGATTAACTGAGAAAAAATGAAGCAATTGAATCAAGAACTTCATCCTATGACTAAGAAAAAAGGAAGGGCAGTCAAGAATTCAACGAGAAAACCGGCAAAAATGCATTAGTGGTTAAACGAGAACCCAAAAGAGGGCAGAAGCTTCCGATGAGGTCATTGCGAAGCAACTTTCAATGTCAAGGAAACGTTCAGAGAACTGATTACGCCTTTTTTTGGCATGGGAGGTTCGAAATAACTTCAATTTTCGAAAAATTTGGACAATTTCAAGTAAAAGACAGTGGGAATTTCAAAAAGACAGCTTTAATTGACAGGGTTCTAGCCGCTTTCGTTATTTTTTTACCTTGTAAATTTCAAAGTCCAATATTGTTTTTTTAGTCAAAAAAACATTCAAAGAACAGATTACACTTCAAAATTCGCCTTTTTTGGCCTAGGAGGTTCGAAAAAGTTCAATTTTTGAAAATTTTGAACAAGCGAAAAAAAAAAATTAAGAAGCATTTTGAAAAAAAAACATTTCTCCCAACGTTAAAAAAAATTTCTCCTCTATTTTTTGTACTTTCCTGCCTTGAAAACGTCTAAAATCGCGCGAGAAACCTAGAAACGGAAGGAAAAAAGAGATTAGTTGTAGAAAATTGCGACCATTTATCGTTGCCCTTCCCTTGGCCCGGTCAAGTACGACCGCGGATTATATATATTCTTAAAAAACATCGAGAAAAAGTTGTTGAAAAGTTGAAAAAGTAAAGAAAAATCAAATTTTTATGAAAATTTAGTAATCATAAGCGCCTGAAAAGCTCATAAACAAGAGAAAGTTTGTATACAGAAAAAATAGGAAAAATCATGAAGAAAAATATGAAAACAGAATTATCAACTAAATCTTAAAAAAATCTCGAAATTAAGCTAAATCTCAAGCATTTTTCTATGGAACTTGGGTCTCAGAAAGCAACCAAAACCCTCTTTTTTTTTCTATTCGCCAAAAAATGCTCCATTTCCCTCAATATTTCTCGAAAATGGAGCCCATTTGTTCTAACAGGTTCCTGGGTATTGGAAGATCTTCCTTTTGAGGCATATTCTACGATTTTCCCAACTTAATTTGAAAAATATTGCTTCATTTACGAAACACATGAATATGAGTCACCTAAACTCGATGATTCCTCAAAAATTCCGAACTGAAAAGCTGAATCTCGAGTACTTTTGATATAGTTAGACCACATAAAACAACATTTTCCCCTTCAAAATGCTCGATTTTCTTCCAAAAAATGGAGTCCACCTGTTGTAACAGGTTTCTCCACTTTGGAAGCGCTTCCTTTGGAGGTAATCCAGCGCGGTGGCGCCTTTGACCCCTCCTGACCTCTTAATTACAGGTATGGGTCATCGGAATATACTATAAAAAGAGTGGGAGAAGGAAACATCAAGCTTGAAGCTCTGAGGAAGTGTAATTTTTGAGAAAATAACCAAAAACAGGAAAAATTGAAGGTTCAAGAAAAGATTGATTTTCATCACTTGAGAGAGATTCTTCATAAAAATTTCAAAAAGTCTCAGTTTTCAAGAATTTCGAAAGACAGGAAACAGTTCCTCTCGAAAAAGAAAAAATTTTTCTCAGAATTCTCGAAAACGTACCAAAGTTTAAAAGAACCCTTCTGAACTATCCGAAAAAAAATCACGAAAAAAAGAGTAAAAACTGACTTTTTTTTTCTGAAACCGTAATTATTTCCACAATGCAAAATACAAGAAAACGATACAGAAACACTGAGAAAGTCATAAAAACGCAATCAGCCCAAATCCGAAGCCAATCCGATCCAAAAACGAGATCAAACAAAAGAAAAACCGACAAAAAAATAAATCAAATTTCCAACACCAGTGCCGCCGACGAACCCATTAAGAGAATGGGATTGAAGAGGAGGACCCCCGTGACCAGGTAAGAAAAGGTTAAAAGAATAAAAGAGGAAGAGGAGGTCGTGAGGGTCCAAGGTTGTCCGCCACTCATTATGCAGCGGCATGACCTCTCGCCACAGATCTTAGGTCTGTGGAAGATGGCCGGGACGGGGATTTCCAGAGTTCATTTTGAGTCTTGGAATGGTTTTCGGAACGTTCGAAGTTTATTTTAATGCTCAAGGAGCTTTTTGCAACCATGCTAAAAACTAAGAAAAAAAAATTCTAAGATTTTCGGATGGGATTTGAAAAATCCACCGTTGAATTTGATACTCAAAAAGCTTTCTGAAATCAAGAAGCCGTGTTTAAGTTCATGAACAGTTTGTAAAAAAGTACATACCGATTAGAGTTCTCAAAATGACCAATTGAAAAAAATGACATTTTTTTCAAAAAAACGAAAAAAATTTTTCTTTTTGACATTTCAAACGAATGTCGTTTTTTTGAAAGATCAACCAAAATTGATCACTTTCATTCTTTTTCATTTTGTGACTTTTTCAAATAATGACTGAAAAAAATAAATGGTCATTTTCTAAACAATCATATTCTGACTAGTAAATAAATGTTCGTCCTAATGACCAAATTTTTTTCAAAGTGAAAAGTAAATGTTCACTTTTTTTGACCAAAATTTTTCAAAGTGAACTTTAAATGTTTACTTTTTCTGACCAAAATTTTTTTCAAAAAGTGAAATTTAAATGTTCATTTTTTTGACCAAAATTTCCGAAATGAATTTTTAAATGTTTACTTTTTTTCGTAAAAAAATGTTTTTTTCAACTGTGAAAATTAAATGTTTATTTTTTTGGCCGATAATTTTTTTCCGAACCTGGATTTTTCCGAACCAAAAATCCAAATCAATACTTTTTTTCTTTTTTTCCTTATTCAATTAATTCTCCAGATAGCACCTTTCTTCCGGTCTGCTCATTTTTTTGACCGGTTCCATATAATTTTTTTCTCGGCCTTAACCGGCTTTTTAGCTTTGCCCTTGACCATCCAGATCACTGTTTTTCCAACAGATTTATTAATTTTTTTAACCAGAAATTAGTTTGAATTTCGAAGTAATCGATTCAAGATTTCATTTGGAGAAGACTGAGATAGAATTGACTCCGACACAGATACTGCCAAGTACCGTAATAGTAATGAATAAAGTAATGAATAAATGTTTACTTTTTTTGACCAAAAATTTTTTTGAAATGAATTTTTAAATGTTCATTTTTTTGACCAAAATTTTTCAAAGTGAACTTTAAATGTTTACTTTTTCTGACCAAAAATTTTCAAAAAGTGAAATTTAAATGTTCATTTTTTTGACCAAAATTTCCGAAATGAATTTTTAAATGTTTACTTTTTTTGACCAAAAAAATTTCAAAAATGAAATTTAAATGTTCATTTTTTTAACCAAAAATTTTTTTCGAAAAAAATAAGTAATTGTTCATTTTTTTAAATGCTCAGTTATGAAATTTAACCAAAATGAAATTTTTTTAACAAACGGTTCATGTGAAATTTAACTAATTGGTCGAATTCATCAAACGTTCAAAAAATGTTTGGTTGAACGTTCGTTCAAACATTTACTTTTGAGAACTCTAATACCGATGTTGAAAATTTCTCACATCTCATTGAAGTAAGCCTAAAGGAAATAGAAGACGCACCATACTTGATGAAAGCGCTGGCTCCTCAACCGTTCTATGAAGAAACATCGTAAACCCTGAAACACAGAAAATGTATTCTTCTTAAAACAACTAAGAAAAAAAAATTCGGAATAAAATTCTTTCTTTAGAAAAGTTCTTTTTCGGCATTTGCAAGTCTTTTGTTAATCTAGAGACTGCTAAATAAACTTGATTCCACAAACTAATTATCCATAACTATATGCAGAGTTAATAGCTTGAGAAAAATTAAGAATTAAAAAAAAGGAAAAATGAAAATTTGTAATGCCGTGTTCAAAGTAATTTCCGCGAAATGCAAAATGATCTCTGACTCTCCAAAATTTAGTGATCTTTTCCTTTCTCTAACGGGTATTTTGCATTTCGCGGAAATTGCTTTGAACACGGCATAAATTTAATTAACTGTCGTCGGTCAAAATGCTTGACCCGCAAGCTGTGTGCGAACCTGACCGTAATTCGAAAAAAAAAAATTAATTTCCTCGTTTTTTTCTGCAAATTTTCTGCTTGGTTGTTTTTTATTCACCTCGTTGCTAATGTTCATTTTTCCGTGTAGAAGAACATCGTCTCCAAATATCCCCTCTTCACAGTTCTCTCTTACTGTGGAAATAGCGCCCTATCGCACGTAAGTTCAAATTATTTCTTCTTCGCGCGTTTGACGTTAAATTTCTTTTCTTTCAGGGAAAATGAGCTTCGAAAAAGCTTTGTCTATTTTAAATAAAAGGTTCCAGTCAAACTCACATTTCCCCGAGCTTTGCGATGGCGTCACCGTTGCATATGACAAAAAGCGCGGCAGGTTTATCAAGGTTCTCCAAAATTTTTGTGATTTTCAAAATGATTATGAAGGAAAACTGTTTCAGGCTACTAAAGATCTCAATCCAGGCACAATAATTTGCATAGAAGAAGGCGTGACGGTGAATGTGAAGAGAGGTCATTGTTATAACTGCCTGAGACTTGTTAAAGTCAGTGATTTGTGGGTTTCTATTTTAAAAATATGCGAAGAAGAAATATGATTCCAGATACTGCGATAAATGCTCACAGGGAAGCGAGCCGATCGAGTTGGCTCGTGGAGATTTCGACGATCTGGGCATTTTTAAGCTTTCAGCTCATATTTTATTATCGTATCCATTCGTGGAAGTGATAAGAGCTATTGACCAACCGAATATAGGTACAGTTTTCTCGAAAACCTCTTTTAGCGTATAAGGCTTGAAATAACACAAAAATGGTCCTAAAAGGGCCCTATAAGACTTTGATTTCAGTCCCGCCGAAATCCGCCCCATCACACCTGTCAAGCACCGATTTTTCTTCAATTCTTCAACTTGAGCCTCATTCAGAAATAGCCAAGGTCTTCGATGATCCGGCTATTCAAATGAGAATCAAAAAATTTGTTGATTTACTTGGAAATGTTTGGATTTTCGTCTTTTCTGGAATAATTATCAAGTTTAGCATCCGAAATGGGGAGCGATGGAAGTTTCAGAGCGATTTGTCAAGTTTTCCAAGGCATTGAGGATAGTTTCGGAACGATGTGCGAGGAATTCTCATGTCGTTTATGACATTGTGCAAACCACTAGGAAGTTTGTAACAACTTTATCGGGCAAAGTCGGTGGATAATGGCCGCTAAAAGGGAGAGGCTCAAAAAAGGCTGCAGAAAGGGTTTCTCTATCGAGCCTCGCATTTTTTCTAGAATTTTAAAGGCTCGAGAAATGGTGGAAAAATAGAAGGCAACAAAAATGGTGCATAAAAGCCGATAAAGTGGCGAAAAAAAGCAGCAAAAAAGGAGCCTTCTTCCACTTTTTCCGACTTTGCCTATTTCCTTAAAAAGTCAAAGTTTCAGAATATAATTTCTTCTATTTCTTTTAATCTAATTTCTAAAAAAATCTTTGGAGACTAGTAAGCTCCAGATTCTGATTTTTAAAAACCTCATGAGCTGTTTCAAAAAAACTTTAAAAAAACTAGAAATTGGCTCTCTTTTTGATATTCGAACTAGAACTTGTGTTCACACTGGGCTAAATAGAAAATTTTGATATTTTAAAAAATCTGGTTAAAAAATGTCCAAGATGGTTCAAAAATTGATGAAAAATTGAGAAAGTCATAAAATATGTTTTGAGGGAAATAAAGACTTTATCATGTCAGATCAAAGGAGGAGCCCATGGGGACGGGAATTTTCCCAATTTCCAGCATTTTCAACCACTCTTGCACGCCAAATGTCTTTTCATTGTGAGCTATATAACCAGTTTTTCGTTTCTAAATCGTTTTTTTTAGTTTTATTGGAAACGTTTTTGTTTTCGTGAGCCGTGGGGTTTTAGCTGGACAAGAGTTGGTCGACACTTACGGAGTGACCAAATCGCAAAATTGTTCCGCCAAAAGAAAGGTTTTCAGTAGATTTTTCGATTTTTGTATGAAAATAGAAAATTCAGCGATTTCTGGCCGAACATTCCGGCTTCACTTGCAACTGTCCTTGTTGTCAACTCGGTCATTCGATGGACCAGTTTCTGATTTCAGCGATGAATAGCCCTGAAGTCATTTCGTCCGCATTTTCGAGTTCATTTTTGTTTTTCCAGACTTTGGTCTATTCTGCCACTCACGTGAACGATTTTTGGAGTTTTGTCGAATTTATTCCGCCCGGGCACAAGGATTTGGAAGTTCTCGTTGAGTTTTTTGCACAGAGGGAAGATGCGAAAGGTGAAAATTGGTCTTTTTCATATTTAAAAAATGATGATACTTTTTAAAAAAATCTGGAATTTGTTCTTTACCTATTTTTTTAGTTTTTGAAAAAAATGAATGAAGAAATTTGATATCTTCTCATAGAGCCTTTCATATACATGGAAAATGAAAAAGCCGGATTTTTTTTTTCAAAAGCTCAGTTCGAACGAATTTAAGCATCATTTTGAGCTGTAAAACTCTTTCATTTATTTTTTTGGTGTGTTAAATTTTGAGTTTCAGAGGGATTTTTTTGATGGTTTTTAAATGGAATATATTGTAATTTTCAGCGTTTTTCATCAAATTTGAGCCTTATTTCGATTTATTTTCGAAGCTTACTGTGCAAATTCGAATATTTTCCAAGTTCCGTAGTTATTTTTCAAAATTTTTCATTCTTCTAGGGGAGTCCTACAAGTTGTAGTTTGAACGATTTTTTTAAAAAAAGGATGATTTTTTTGATAAATTGCTGACTATTGTCTTTCAGCAGATCCAAGGACACAGATTCAACTTTGGGAAAATTTCCTAACCAATGCTGAGAAACGGAAAATTTCTTTCGATCCCTATTTGGGTTTGAATGATTTTCTCAATTTTTCATAGGTATTTTCCAGTTCGACCATTGCTTGAGCTTGTACTGGCTTTTCATGACGATTCCTTGTGAGTTTATTTTTTCGAAAAATTGACAATAGATTTTTTAGAATTCGAGATGAACAATATGAAGAAAGCCGAATGTCGATGATGATCGCACTTCATGAGCATCTACATGTATTTTATTGTGATCTGCATCCGGCTTCCGGGTATGTATATTTCTCTTTTTTCAATTCTTAGAGAAAACAATATAACAATGTTTAAAGGACCCAAGACAACCATGCTTTGAGGTTTCTCAATATAGTCTCTTAGGACTTTCGAAGTTTCCTAACCCCTAGCTCATATCTTTTCGTTAGCCTTATTTTTTTCTACTTCAGAAGATAGGCAAAATTTAAATTGGAAAAACCTTCATTTTCAGCTTATTATTTTCTTTCACTCTGGTTTTTATTGAGATGAATTGCTTTCTTGGCTCATAGTTATACCAATCTTTTTTTCATTTCAAAAAGTTTTGAACTTCTTAGCTTTCTTTTTAGGTGAAAAAAAGTAGTTAAAATGGAATAAAAAGTTTTTACAGTAAAAATCAGTTTTATCACCTTCAACTTTGGAAACAAGGTACATCAATGAAAAAAGAGTTACCTTTGTCCTTATAACCTCATCAATGTCTTCATGAGAACATCACGATGTTTCATTTTCCTTAAAAAAGAATCTCTTATGAAGACTTCGATGACGTTATAAGGGCAAAAGCCACGTTTCTGATCAGATTTAAGAATTCTTACGTGAATAGAAAAAGTACGGGAAGTTTCTTCATTTTTTTTTACAATCCATATAACTCACAAAAAAAAACATCTGCTTGTAATTTCTAATTTTTATCTTCTTTTCTTCTTAAAAATTTCTGTATGCTTTTCGATGGAACTACACCATCTATTGCCTTTTTGAAAAAATATATTTTAGGCCCCTGAAAATGTTGCTGGAAGCCACGAATAAAAAAGAAGGCGATATCCGGGAACCACTGGGACTTTTGAAGGAAATCGCGAAGGATTTGACGGGATAATCTTTATTTGTTGCATTTTTGTTGATTTTTCGCGAGTACGAGGAATGAAAATTGTTGATTTTTATTGTGAAGCAAAAGTCGACGAAAAAAGAGTAGAAATTGGTGAGTTGCAAAAAAAAATTCGGAACAATAAGGAAATACGTTTTTCCACCAAAAACATTCAAAATTTGATTTTTTGAAGTTGAGAAATAAAGTTGAAACAAGAAGCAATGATTAAAAAACAGAAGTACCAATTTTATGAAAAAAGAGACAAAAATCAACACAGAAAATGTCACAATTTTGATCGCTCCGTATCCCTCAGTTTCGCTGCGCATTAACCGCCTCTAGCCGGACACCCAGTGCTGCAAATGATATAAATTCCGGCCAGGCCATCGCCGACATAATAGCTCGGCATTGTGCCGATGGAGAATGGCGAGGCTCCGAAAATCTGCGCTCGGGCCAGGTCCAAACAAATAATTAGTATAAAAATCGGGAAGAAGTTAGGAATCATTAGACGTTATCGGTCTCTGTACCTGAGCCCTTTTATGGACCTTCTCTCGTCAATATTTTGACGTCTTCTGGGTGAACAATGGTGCAGTGACCTAGGTAAGATCGTTCTGGAGAAGTGCCAAGGGTCAGGAGAGTTGAAATTTATTGAAATTTTAATATTTGGACGGCCAAAGTTAGCCCTGCTCACATTTTTTCAGGTTTTGGGTTTTCCAATAGTTGTTAGAATAGTAACACCAGTCTTAAGCGATATATAAACCCTTCTTTTTAAGGTTTTTTTTAAACTTAACATCACTTTAAAGAAAATTCAATGTTTCATTTCTTCTTCCACTTCGCTGCTGTTCCTTTCTGCCACTCGAACGTTTCCGATCCAGTCCTGCGGGTCTCCACGCTAATTCTCGTCTCAGGTTACGGTCGGTCGGTCGGTTGGTTTTCGAAAATCGTCTCGAGAAGCAAAATAAGAAGAATAGTGAGAAGTGAATGGAAAAACAATCGTGGCCGGCTTAAGGATGGGCCACAAAACAATAAGGCGCCCGGTTCGAACTGCAAACATTTCGATTCCCTGAGCCTTCTTGCTTTTTTTGGTTTTATTCCAACGATTTTTGGTATGAATACCGAGTTCGAGTTGGAATTCTGCTGAAAGAGAAATGATTTATCTGAAAAAAACTTTAGTTTAAAAAAAAGGAAAAAAACTTTTTTTGGGTGTCTGTAGCCAAAAAAAAGTACATACAACGTGCAACGCACCAAAAAAACTCCATCGCCACGCCAAAATTAAAAAAATTATTAAATTTTTTTGTTCTGCTGTTTTTTTATCGTTTAATATAGGCCATTCCGCGCCAGCTTGTCACGTTTTTCTTTCCGCCAAAAGGACAGGTCAAATTCAACCAACTTTCGCTTCAAGACCCTGGTTTCTTGCCGTTATAAAATCAGAAATTTGATCTAATTTTGTATACGGTCTTTTTGGCGGTAAGAAAAACGTGAAAAGCTGGCGCGGAATAGGCTATAGCGCTTTTTTGTAAATTTTTTTTCTAAGATTGGATTCAGTCTGCTCACAAGTCCTTGATAAAGTGTTGAAAAAGGCATGTTTCACAACGGACTCGAGATAAATAACTGATTTTAGTGTTTTTTGTTCATGCAAAATTTTTTTATCACCTGTGCAGAATGTAGTTCAAAATAACTCCTGGAACCTCGTTCTCACCAAATAAATCTTGAAAGTGCGGCTGGTTTCCTGTTCGAGTTGTATTTGCTCGAGTATTACCCCCTTCTTGACAGCAATTCATACCACCTCGCGCCTTTTTCTCGAGTGCTTGCCGGTATGTATGTCCGGCGCTCTCTCTGCTCTTTCTTGCTTTTCGAACTCAATTTTAGATGTTTTCCAGTAGATTTTCAAACTTTTCCAGTTGAAAATTTCACCCAATTTATCTTCTCCCTGCACCTTTGGCTATGTAAGGACAGTCGCAGCAGGTGTCGACAGGTCGTTAAACATTCCGCCCCAACATGTTGCATCTTCACTGTTCTTCTCAAATTTCCTCCTTTGTTTTGCAGTTGTCGCCCGAAACTATTCGTTGGCGCAATCGGTTTTTATGTTCAAATTCATATTTGAATCAGGTCATTTACCGTTTTCAGTCTTTTTTAAACAGTGCTCTTATTGCGAATATTGTCGTGTTAAAATAATTTTCAGGATTTTGAAATTGTGAAAAAGCAGGGTACTACAACGAGAGGACGATTTTAAACCACGAATACTAAATCTTGGAACTTTTAATATTTTTAACCAAAATTTTGAATTCGTGCGTCTGTAGATACCAAAAATTCCTCGTACGCAAGTCATTTTTGTCATTTTGACCTGAAGAGGTAGGTTCGAAATCTCAATTTTCTTGCGTTTTGGAACAATTTTCGGTGGTATGAAAAAAACACCAGCGAATTTTCGAACGGCGACTTTTCCGATTTTTTCATATCGCTAGGGAACTTTCCAACGGGCACCTTTCCGACGAATCCCTTTCCGACTTTTTTCCCTTATATTTTTCGTTTTATAAAACATCTATTGACCGGGTTTAGGCAGGTGGAAGAGACACTTGAATCAAATGAAGAAGTCTGTGTCTAAAAGGGAAGGAGACTCCGGAAATACCGAAATAGTAATAGAAAAGCGTACAGTAGTACAGCAGAAGGAGCCGGTAATAAAACCGACCTTACCAGTCAGAACGTCTATCAGGAAAAGACAACCACCAGCCCATTTAAAAGATTATGTGACTACGTTACCTCAAAGCGCGAAAGACAAAGTGAAAAGAGTGCGTTTTGAAAATGAGATGATCCACCACGTAAAAGGGATCTGGAATCATCGAAGTGGAAATGAGAGTAAAAAAGTCGTAGTAAATCCGCGTGAAGATGGGAGGTGGATAAGAAAGGGTATAAAAGACATGATGGAAACAGATAGACACAAGAAGATGTCGGACAAACCATCTCGCAAGAAGAGCAAGCACCACGAAGGACGACCGCCGGCCGCGAAAAAACCTCGCGAACAAACGCCGCCGGAACAGCACCAAGAAGAGTTACCTTTCGTGCCTACATACTTAAGACTCCACCGGATCCAACAAAGTTTGAACAGCTTGAAAGATCAAATGGAGGTACGGTCATTTCCTAAGATAAAGATAAAAATCTAAAAGGAAAGGAGTGTTGAATATGTGAATTGATAGTGATCAAATAATAGATCACGTGAGAGATATCCCAACTAAGAGTATAAAAGAAGTCGGGAACTCAGATCTTGATTGCTCGTACCGCCCACCATTCGCCTCCAGCTCCTCCGTCGCTTCCAGCTACGGACTAATCGACAACTACCTCTCCAATCTCCACTCTCCATCTTTATTCACCACTGATAATAAATAAGTGGCGAGTACTCTTCTTTCTGACACGCACACAAAGATACATTAAATACTTTATATAGGATGTTTCAAAACGAAAAAAATGTATCGAGAAAAAAAGTCGGAAAAAAATATTCGTCGGAAAGTTCCCTAGCGATATGAAAAAAATCGGAAAAGTCGCCGTTTGAATTTTTCGCTGGTCTTTTTTTCATACCACTGAAAAATCTACTGGCTTTATTAGGATCAAACGACATATTTTATTAATTTAATATGTTTTTAAAAAGCTTTCAAGCCTGATCTGAAATCATAGAAATGAGAAAAAATGCTCTGAAAATATGGAGAAAATCGACAGATCGGACAGAATTTTTTAAAGATTTCCAGACCTTTTCGAATTTTTAACGCGATATTTTCGGAAAGAGTTCAAGGTGTCAGGCTGATTTTGGAGTAGATTTGTGTGGAAAAGTTACTGGCTTTATTAGGTTTATAGGTTAGCTTTTACGAACTTTTATATGCTTCAAAGACGGATCTCAAACCATTGAAATGAAAAAATGAACAACAAATTTCGAAAAATTTTAAAATGTGACTCTGAAAAATCGATGGCTTTTAGTTATATTTTTGAACGCTTCTTGAAATCGATTCCTCAAAGAATTTGTGCACTTTCCTAGAGAAATCAAGGTTTTTTTTCCTGCTGCAGAGACCGATTTCAACATGTGTTTCGTACAGCTGCACACGTAAATCATCAAAACCAGTCGCGCATCTTTCACTAAACTCTCGAAATCCTCCGTTCTGTCGTTGTTTTTCTTCTCCCTCGTTGTTTATGATTTGAATCCGTTTATTATTGGCTTGAACCAGGCTGAAGCGGATTTCTCTTGATGAACTGAAATGAACTTATTTTAAAGGTTATAGGGTAACGACTTTTGAAGGCAACTTTTCACGACTTTCAAAATGTTCAGAAAGATTTTAACTGTAACCTATTTTGAATTTTTTCAGTGAATAATGTCTCAAGTCAACCCTAAAGGAACTATCTGCATTTTGAAGCTTATCTGCAAGAAAACGATTTTTCTGAGAAGATTTTTAGTGGCCACTATAGGGTTTCGACCTTTTAGCGGCCAATATAGTAGTCAAATTAGTGACCACTTGAGGGGTTAGTGGTAACTATAGAGGTCTAAGTGCTACTATTAGACCACTAAAACATTTAGTGGTCATTTTAGGGGTCAATGGATCATTATAACCGGTCCAATCTGTTTGTTTTAAAATTATCAGAGTTACTGGAAGGAATACTGGATGAAAAACTACTGAAATGGCCACTAAAACGGAAAATAATGGCCACTATAGAGGCGGGTTTAGTGGCCACTTTAGTGTCCTCTCCAAGTAGCCGAGCCTCTATAGTGGCCACTACAAATTTTCCCAGTTCAGATATTCCTTTTAACGAATATTGCATCTATCACTGAAAAGTGAATGAATTTTTTGATTGAACTGCTTTTTTGAAGCATTTTTATGTAATTCAAAGCTTCATTTGTCACTTTCCTATGACTATTCCATCACTTTATGAAGAAAAATTTGTCGGTTTTGCTTCTCCTTCTCATCTTTGCGCGCCACACTACCCATATTTGCTGATAATTTGATGAATTGGCCATGATATCGAAGGCCTCCGATAACCCGTTCGGGCCACCTTCCCCTATCGACACCCACATCGTTCGCCCTCCTCTTGTATTGTTCTCCGTTCCGACCTTTCCATAAATTGTCGCACGCCCTTTTGTTCCCTTTTATTATACCTTTTTTGTACTCATCATTTGTATCTTTTTCGATCCTCGGTGGTGTAAATTTGCAAAAAGGACTCATGCCACTTTTTCCGTTTGAGTGGCCACTTTAGTAGTTTTTCATCCAATATTCCTTCCAGTAACTCTGATAATTTTAAAACAAACAGATTGGACCAGTTATGTTGATCCATTGATCCCTAAAGTAGCCACTAAAACTTTAAGTGATCTAATAGTATCACTTAGACCTCTACAGTGGCCACTAGTTTTTAACTCCTTAAGTGGCCACTTTTTTGACTACTATAGTGTCCACTAAAACGTCAAAACCCTACAGAGACCACTAAAAATTTACTCAGAAAATTGGCTTTTCTCAATTTCTTGACTTGTGTAATTTGGATCAAAATGATTACTTTGTCGATGGCTTGAATTGACTATAAATCTACATTCGTCAATAATTTGGTTTTGAAAATTAAGTTTTTATGACTTTTGTAGTGTATATTTGAATTTTGCTTAAAAATTTTGGAATGTATTTTTGGTAGCTTGCTTCTTTCAGATTTTTAGCAACTACTTATAACTCTTGAATGGTGTTATATTTTTTAAAACTGTCCAAATATTGACGTTTTGTTGTTGAAAGACCGTTTTCGTCGAAATTTGACGTTTTTCAATGGTTTTTGTGCGACAAACGTTCAAAGAGCGACTAATGTTTCCGGTGTTCGATCGAATATTTGAACTGGTTCGAGTTTCATATAAATATCTTTGTTTTTAATAGTTTTTGAGGTAAATTTACTCTCTCGGATCATTACAACACAAGCTGAGTAGTGGAGTTCCATGTCAAAATATGCCAATCACTGGTTTTTTTCGTTTATCAGTATTATTTTTTTCTGGGTTTACGATTTTTCTGATCCATGCAAGTTTGAGAAATCGATACGTTTTTTTAAATTTTTGTAGCAATTATCTGGTTTAGAAAATATTTTCTTTCTTTTTTTGATTATAATTTTTCTCCTTCTTGCGGTTCTTAAAATACTTACCCCTTCTTCAAACTGTATGGAATATTATAATAAAAAAATAGTTCTATATTTATTTGATCTACTAGACTTTTTAACAACCCTTTTTCGAAAGTATCCTCATTGCGAAACCCTTCTAACCTTACTTTTTATCACCTTCCCATTGCTTTCATAAGTATCACGGCTTTATTGTCTTGCAACACGTTGTTAACTCCAGTTCATTGCTCTTTTTTCCTGGTCCCAACAATCCAGAAAGTTCCTTTTTTTCCCGCCCGGCCGCCAACCACATCACACACGCCTGTTCATTGGGTTTTCGATCGAGTAGAGGTTTCTTCCGTCGCTCGTTCGTCAAAAAGAAACAAAAAAAATCGTCTTCCTTCTATCACTTTTCGCCTGGTTTCTGACACGAATATATCGTTTTTTTGAGATGTTGGAAAATTTTTTGGCTCCTTTTTCTGCAAAGACTGCCGCTAGTTGATTACAATTTTAAGGCTTTCAATGGATCTATTCTGAAAATTTAACTTGGACCTTAAAAGAACCTTTTTTAATCTTCATTCATAGTTTTTTCGCTATTTTTTTTCAGGCCCCTTTTAACTTTTCTTGTGATTTTTCAATCTAGAAACTTATTTCTTTCATATTTTCCTTCCAAATCCCTTTATTTCGAGTCAAAACTAAATAATTTTTTGATTCTTCACGATTTTTTTTCAAAGAAAATTGCTTTCAACGCCGTTACACTCCAAATTTCTCAGCTGATTCAATTTGTTCACCGTTTTTCCAAAATTTACTTCAAGTTTTGTAATTTTTTTGGCTCTGTCGCTAGATTTTTTTCCAGCGTTTTTTTCTACAAGTATCAATTTTTTTACAGAATACTTTTAAAAACTTATCTATACCTTCAAAAGGTCGCCTTTTTGTACCCCCGATCCATACATATTCATGTCAAAAACCAGACCCTCTTTTGTTGTCCTTTTTTTTCGGCTAGGTATGTATGGAAACAAAAAAAAACTTTGCGATCCATTGTCCCATTCGACCGGATCCCGTTAATTGGAAATGTTGTGTTATAGCGCATTTTTTTCTTTTTTTCGCAATTATTAGTGAATTTTTTTAGTCAGGTGTTGTTTGAAAAGCATTTTTTTGAATTTCATTAGGGAACGTTTTTTTACCCCCTCGTTGAAATTTTTGATATGAAACTTGACTGAAGTGTACTTCAGAACCTCCTGATTCCAAAAATGTCTCGCAATAGGTTTTGTTTTCGTGTTAAGACACTTCAAAAGCTCAAAATAGCGCTTTTTTGTCATAATTTGCGTATTCTGCGGACTTCGATGTTCGAAAAAAAAGTGTATTGCGAGAAATTTTTTCTTGTTCTAGAATCAGGAAGTTCTGAAGTACACTTCAGTCAAGTTTCATATCGAAAATTCAACCGGGGGGGATCGTTCCTTAGTAAGCCTTGAAGGATCTTAAACAACATCAAAAATGACTTTTTGCCTTGAATCCTTCAGAAATATTTGATGTGCGTGGAAACACTGAAGCAATGATTTTGTTACAGAATATTTCTGATAGCAGAAGAAATTTTTCTGAAAACTAGCTTTTCAAAACTTTTGAAGCTCCCATTTCAACACTTGAAGTGAGCCATCCACACTTCAAAAAAATTTTTTTTGTTTTCTGCTTTTCTCACGTTTTTCTTTTGTTCCGAAGCGTTCCCACACACGAGGGGCAAACACTATAACCGATTGCGATCACTTCTTCTCCTGATTCTCAAGTATAGTAGTATATTGGACCCCGATTTGTTCCGTCCGCCGATCATTTCCAACGATAAAAACCCGTATTAGTCTCGACCCCGCAGAGCATTTTTTGTTGATTCCGACTGGAACCGTTCTCTTGTCTCATTTTCATGGATAAAATCGCTTATTATGTACTAAGTTTCTGTGGGTTTAATAAATTATTTCAAAAAATGGTCACTGTCAGAAACCGACTAACTTTTAAAGAATTCAACCCTCAAAAACCCTCAAATAGTTGATGAGTTTTCAAGAAAGGTCCTGGCACGAAAGCCAATTTTTTTCGAAATTTTGAGAAAGTTTTTGGATATTATAAAAGTTTTAATGGTTTCAAAGTACATATTCCTTCATAATATGAACAGTTTCAATATCCTGATTTGTAATATTTCTTTTTTTTTTCCTGATTTTCCTCTTTCTGCCAGAAAATTTTTTTCTAAAACTCGATTTAGAACTAAAAAAACTAAAATTTCACAAAAATGGCCACTATCAGAAACCGACCGACTTTTACAGAATTAAACTTGGCGTCAAATTTTATTCGATGACGTTGTTCTTTCCCAAGTATGACGTCATCGCGGTCACAGAGTGGGATCGTCAATTCATCGTTATATACAGTACAGTTCCTGGCGTACCGAAATCGCACCAGCAAGTTCTTCATAAGACCTTTGTTTGCCCCCCTGTTTCCAAATTTAACACATAATCTCATCAATTAGTTTTTCTGACAAACACATGTTGCATGTGGCTGTCAAGTGATCACATTTTTGAAGAAAAATATTGTTTGGAAAGAAAAAAATGTCTGTAATTGACCATTTGAGTGGTTTTATGACGTCTTTTGTTGATAACGTGCGAATTTTCCAGGAAAAATCTTTTGTGAGGACTTTTTGACGCTTTCTTTTGAGGTTTTTACTTCTAAAGGATCACTTACAGAAGATAATTGTCTTTTTTATCAGTTTCTATTATAAATTCAAACTTTCTTCACACCTTGTTCGAAACCAAACGATATACGGGTATTTGCATTATTTCCGAAGGCCCATTCTTCTTCTCCTTCCCTTTTTTTTCGTCTTTGACGTCGTTTCACGCTCTTTTTCTGTACAATGCGTCCTCTTGGGACGGGCAGGAAGAAAGAGGTTTTGAATACTTTTTCGTACTTTTTGGCTATTCAAAAGTTTTTTTATATGCAAAAAAGTGAATTTCAAGTGACTTCTTATAAATTTTTAGTTTCGGGGAGATTTTAGTAGGTTTTCGACCAGTCCATTCAAAGAACCCTCTTAAAAAAAAAATAACGGCGATTCAATGGAAATCTGACCATAGGCAGAGACGAAAAAGGCTTCCCTTTTGCTGCCTTTTTGCACCATTTCATCAGCTATTATGCACCATTTTTGCTGCCTCTCCCTTTTTCCTCCATTTTTTGAGCCTTTAAAATCCCAAAAAAAAATTGAAGGGTCGATAAAGGGACCCTTTTTGCTGCCTTTCTGCGGCCTCTTTGCGGCCTTTTTTTGGCCTTCCTGAGACCTTTTTGCTGCCTTTTTACGGCCTTTTTTGAGACTCTCCCTTTTTTAGCTGCCATTATCCACCGTTCCGACTTTGCCCAAAATCCTTATAATTTTAAGTTAGATCTGGAAACTAAATAATTTTTCTGTATTTTTTTTCCCGATTTCACAATTTCATGCGATGCCTTGATTCTCACAACCTTTTTTTCATGACTCAACGGAAAGAATGAATGGAATTTCCAGGTCTTGTGTTTTTTTGTCGCTTCTAATCTATATCACCTTGTATCGGATTGTATTAATTGGAAAGGACATCAGGGCGTGGTTTCGTCGCTTTTTTCATCGGTTTTCCATTTTTCGTTCAAAGTCTTCTTAAGTGAATATTTTTTATTCGAATTTGGATTTCATAAAAATTTTAAAATCGATCGATGTGAAATTTTAACGACTGAGGGGTCAACCCCGGGGGGCCCTATAGTATGCACCTTAACTTTACCCCTATGGGGGCCACTTTTCGGCCCCTATAGGGGTTGTTCTCCACCCTAACCCCTAGAGGGACCACTCTAAAATTCTTAAGTTATTTGAATGAAATTGAACGACCCCTTTAGGGACCACTTAAGCTTTAAGGGGGTCTGACCCTGAACCCTCTAGGGACCTCCTTGATTTTAACCCTATAGGGGTTGCTTTTCCCCCTAACCCCTTCAGGGACCACTTTAAAATTTCTAAGTCAGAAAAAATAATGGAAGCTCAACAGGGTTTCAAAGAAAACGTTCTCTATCTTCACCGGAAATTGAAAAACTTGAACTTTTATCAGAAGCCTTTTACACGTTTTTTTTTCATTCTATGTCGCAACGTTGACAGCTTTCCTAATGATCCTACACAACGTGTGAATTGCATTCCGCGCCATTTCCACCTCGTTTTTATTGGCCTGTTACGCGTCGTTGAACTGTTTTCGTGTGGAGACCGTGAAGAATTTCAAGTTTGAATTTTTTGATTTTCGAAGAGGTTCTGTGAAAATTTTTTGTGGCTGGGTTTTGAGGTTTTAGTGGCCACTATAGTAGTCAAATTAGTGGACACTTAAGGGGTTAAATTAGTGGCCATCATAGATGTCTAAGTGCTACTACTTGACCACTAAAATTTTTAGTGGCCACTTTAGGGGTCGATGGAGCAACATAACTGGTTCAATCTGTTTGTTTTAAAATTATCAGAGTTGCTGGATGAAAAACTACTGAAGTGGCCACTATAGAGGTCGGTTTAGGGGCTACTTTAGTGTCCTCTCTGAGTAGTCCTTGGCGAGCCTCTATAGTGGCCACTAAAAGTTTTCCTTGTTCTTGCAAATAAAATGACATATTTTTCGTGAGGCGCAAACGTTGAAAGCTTGACAAGGAAAAAAAATACTTCCAAAAAAGGTGCGAGATAATTCCAAAGATTTCGGCTTTCCAAAACGGCCCTCAATTTTATCTCGCTTCGCGATCATCGTTCGGTTCCTCTTCTCATTTACTGAACAAAACAGCCACGAGTCCTCCTTTTTTTGCCTCATTCAACGAATTTTTAACTGGCTTCTTAGTCTAGAAGGTAGAAAAAGGAAAATTCCTCTGTTTGTGAATTTTTGAACTTGACCTCATAGGCAAAGTCGGAAAGGGTGGAAAAAGGCTCCATAGAAATGTGCTTTCAGGGTGATGAAGGTTCCATTTTTGCAGCCTTTTTGCGCCATTTCATAGGCTGTTATGCACCAATTTTGCTGCCTCTTCCTTTCTCCACCATTTCTCGAGCCTTTAAAATTCCAGAAAAATGGAAGGCTCGATGAAAGGACCTTTTTTGATGCCTTTTTGCTGCCTTTCTGCGGCCTTTTTTGAGCCGCTCTCTTTTAGCGGCCATTATCCACCATTCTGACTTTGCCCGAGCTTATGAATAAGCATTTGTGTCTTTTTATGATTATTAATTGAGCTTATGATTTTTTTTTCCCCATTGTGGTTCCATTTTTCATACTTCTGAAACTAGAATTTCTTTATTCTCTGTTTTTTGCTCGCAGGGTCATATATTTTAAATTTTCAATTGGTTTTTTGCAGGTAATGGACGTCACAGCCGCACCGCGACCTCACTCGTGAGTTTCTGATGGAGTTTTGAATTTTCCTGAAATAAAGAATGTTTTTTTTATTGAAGTTTGATGTGGGAATAGTGAAAAAATATAGTTTTTCAGAAATGACTTGAAACTTTTGGAAGAATAGCTAAGTTACATATAGTTCGCACAGTTTTTGTCTGCGTCTCTCTGTTCCCTCACCGGCGAGGTCAGAGAAAAATGAAAAAAGCGCGACAACATGAAAGAGACGTCGAGAGACGAGGAGGGTGCAGAGAAGTGTCGTCCTTTCAAGTCGAGGAAAATGGACTATATTCCGGATCGGAAAAAAAGTTTTATGAATCGGCTCTAGATATCATAATGAAAAAATATTCAAGTTTTGAGACCTGAAGACAAAAAAAAATTTAACGTTTTTCTACTTTTTAGCACAAAGGCGTTGCGAAAAAACGTCATTTTAACCGATTATTTTTTTATTTACAGCTATTTCTTCTATGTAGAATCGTAGCCGATTGTATGTTTCCCTCAATTTTTTCCCAAAACGGTTCAGGGAAACTGCATAAACAACAATGAAATGTCAAAAATGCAACGAAATATACGACGTTTTTTGGTCAGCGAGGGGCGTGGCCTTGCGGTCCCTACCTGAAGTTATTTGAAAACTACTCGATCTTACATTTTTCATGAAGTTCCAGTGGAATCTGTTTGAAAGGATCAATCAAATTACAGTAGCCCGCGAAACAGCGCCACTGCGCGTCCAACGCAAGCGTACTATGTGCCGCGGAGACTGCTCGAGTGCGGTCGCGGGCCGCTGCCAACCGCCGAAGGCAACGCGGACAGGACCCAACAGGTTTCAGCCATTTCAGTGGGGGAAAAGTGCGCTCCAGCGAACAATTTCATTGTTTTAATCACGAGTATTGATCAGTATTTGCTACATCAGAAATATACATGAAAAGTTAAGCGAAAATGTGGCTTCTTTTAAAAGAAAAAATAAGAATTTAGGAATTTTAGAATGGTCCCTATAGGGGTCGAAAAAATGGTTCCTATAGTGGTAAAATCAAGTTGGTCGCTACAGGAGTTTAGGGTCTGACCCCTTAGCCTCTAAAGCTTGAGTGGTCCCTGTAGGGGTTTTTCGCTTATTTATTTAGTTTTGGAAATGCTTCTTCGCATAGAGTTTATAAAAATTATCGACTAGCAGGTCCCCTATAGGGGCCACTAACTGAAACCCTTATAATGACCACTTTTTCAAGCATTAGGGGCTCGTAAAGTGAGGCCTAGAGGGGATACTAAGGTTGCCCCTGTAGGGACCACTATGAAGCTCCAAGGGTCTCAAAAATTTAGGAGAACTGGTAAAGGATGATTCTCCCTATCAAAACGAGATTTCAAAAAAAAAAATTCTAGACAAAGTTACCTGTACTTTCCCGGATCGAATAATCAGAGATGTTGTTCTTTGGAGCGTACTTGGAGAGATTTTCAAGCCGTGGTGTGAAAAAAGCTTATGAAAATGTCTTCCAGACTGTGCTCCGTCCACAGCCCCCAGTGTCCAAACCGCGTCCCCTAATGGCCGAACTCCTCCCGCCGCCCGCTTCTCTCAAGGTTTGTTGAAATCAAAAAAAAAAAACAAGAAATATCCATCATTATTGTCACAAAATTTGAAGATTTTTTAAATGTAAAAATGTTCTATATTAGCAAAATAGTGTAGGAAAACAAGAGGTTCTTATTCTGACCTAAAATATTTTACGACAGTTTAAAGATAAGCGGACTGTATTTTAAAGCTTCAACATTTTCAAAATTACCAAATTAAGGTTTCTCTTCTTAAAGTTTTCCGTTGAAGCAGAGGTTTCATGGCGTTTGCAAAGCCCACTAAAAAGTCGTCAAGTATGTTGTTTCTTGTGCATGCACCGCCGACGAAAACCTACATACTGCCAATAGTTTTTATGATTTTTAAGTACACGGCGTTTCTGCCAGTTGAAGAAAATGCAAGGAATTTGAAACTCGGCAAAATCTGCGCACTTCTCGAAATTCGCCCGCGAAATTTGAAAAAGTGGCTTTATTTTTGATTTTTTGTCAATTTTTTCATATTTTTTCACTTTTTCTTTTCGTAGATTGCTGATAGTATTGCGGGACCACGATCGGGGTATAATCTGGGCTGTTAGACGTTTTTTGAAAGTAGTTCTTTTTTGTGCATGCACTAAACACGTCCTAATTGACGGAGAAAAGTGGGCGGGGCGTCGCAAAAGAAACACCGTGAGTAGACAAAAACACTTTTTGAAGCTAAAGAAAATGAAAAATTAATAATTTGCTTATTTATCTTCAATAACGGAACGAGAAGTACTAAAGGAATCAACTTTTTTTAAATTTGTTTCAAATATTTTTAAAAATGATTTGATTGCTGCTGAAAGCGATGATGAAGAATGAAAAACCAGTTAGAAAAAAAGAAATTAAAAACAGTTTTGTACGAGAAAAAAACTGCATTAACGATCATTTGAAGAAGTTCATTTTTGAAAATCATAGTGAAAAAAATTTTTTTCAAGGCATTCTCTTGCATAGAACACATAATGAAACTTCTAAACATTGTTTTTGGTCAACAGATCTTGAAAAAATGTTCAAAAACGGATCAAGAGTGAAGAGGAACTGAGCTAAAAAGTCCTTTTTAAAATCACCTAAAATCAAAATAACAATAATTTCTATTATGAACCTTTTCCAGGAGAAGCAACGCCAGCCAGCGAAAAACTCGCAAAATCGTCGGTCGCCACCGGCTTCCACCCAATCGCCAGCCGCCGGCCACAAAAAACCACAAAAACTGAACACGCCACGAAAGTCGCAGGAATCGTCCAAGCAGATCTACGTCGCGCCGCCGCAGTCGACCTCGCCAAAGTCTTCGTACTCGTCGTCGCGGTCCTCGTCGTCGATGTCGCAGCTCTCGCCGCAAGCGCCAAAGAGAGCCACCACGACGACGACGCAGACCCTGACGACGTCCGTCCCGCGCGTCATCGCCCCCAAGGGACCTCAGAAGTACACTCTGAGCCGGCCCAACCAGTTCTGCACCGTCGTGTCGCCGTCCGACCCCAAGGACGGCTGCATCTGCGACAGAGCCAAGACGCATGTCCTTTGCAAGAGGTTCATAGATTTTTTTTTTCTCAAATTTCGAAAGTTTATAATGGCGTGTACCTTGCCCGAAACGAAAATTCTTCAAATTAAAAAAAGTCATGATTAAACGCTTCATTGAAAGAGGGGCTTGATCTACTGCCAAGGAATCTTAGAGCGCATTTTCTTTGAATGATTTCAATGATCTTCGCATCCAGGTAGAGGTACAACTGTCAAAAATACTTTTCGTTTCAAGACCTTATAATCATTTTATCATTGCTGGTTCAAGTTTGAAAATTTATAGATGCTTTTATTAGGACTATAGAAGTCTTTGTTGCTTCCCAGCTTTTTTTGGAAAAAACAACAATAATTCAAATTTAAAACGGAAAAATCGTTTAATAATGCGGTGAATAAGTTATTTTCCCATGTACGGACCGTAAAATTTTGAGAACCCCATTCCCTTAAATAATAGTAAAAAGGAAAAATGTTTCCAGATGCGGCTACGAAGGCTTCGGCCGCGTGCAGATCGTCTGCGGCGCCCATCCGCTGATGCTGGCGCTGAACGACCTCCGCGAGTGCCCCAACCCCCTGTGCCGAAGCATCCAACTCGTCGAAGCCGCCGACGCGGCCATCGACACCGACGGCCTCGATTTGGCCGTCGAGAAAATCGATCTCTCTCATGTTTGAGCGTTGATCGCTGCTTTTTATCCTCCCGGGGGCTTTCTTGTAGTTTATTAATCGCTTTTTGGAAATTCTTAAAAGTGTGCTCTGATGAAGTTGAATAAGAGTAAGAAGTGCAGCGCACTTTCAAAAAAGGAATTTCAGCGATTAGTTAAACTATACAATGTGCTAATGGATGTGTACTGATTGATATATAGCTGATTCTCGGCTGGCTTGAGCCATCGAAAAAAGGGTCCTGACACGATAATGCGAGAGATAGTGCCTGGTTGGTGAAGAGCGCAGACACCGCCACGCCCCCTTAGCGTCTTCAAGTTAGCGGAGAATCGGCTATAACTTTATTAGTGACTTTGAATCAATCTCATGCGCTTTGAAACGTTCTCGAAAACTCATTTTTTCGTGTTTTTGAAGGAATTTCCAATGAAAAAAGATTTTAATCTTTAGAAAATCTCGAAATCAATATTCTCTTCCATAGAGATCCGTATTCGCAGGCAGCTCATGAAAAGTATTCGAACTCTATTAAAAATTCATAAATCCTAGAACATACAGATCAGTACACATTTCCAACCCCCCTACTAACCATTTTCTTTTCCACATTTGCGAAATTTAAAAATTTCCAAGACGCCGCGGGTTCTCCCCACACACACAATATGTACTTCAGCCCAAGCCATAACAGTTTTCTTTTCATTTCATAAAAAAAACGCCATCAGGGGAAGTTCCGTTCGCATTTTACAGATTTTATACAGCTCAATGTTTCGCTTACTAACCAAGTACTTTTTGGCCTTGAAATGTGCCTTTTTCTAACACTCCAGTGATCACTAACAAACATTTCTTTTTTTTCAGTTTTCACCGGTTCTTACTTTTATGAACATATTGCTTGTACATTTTACGTGCTTTCTTTTTTTTTCTCAAAATAAATATTTATTTCAATCATACTCCCAAAACTGTACATTTTGTAGTTTTCCGAATGGAGAAGAGAAAAAAACTAATCAAAAAGGAGATCCGTAAGCAGAATTTCAGTAAAATGAGCACAAATGAACAACTTCAGGAAAAAGAAACTATTTTTCAAATAGACAAAAAGTAAATAATAAGATCGATGTTGTGTTTCCAAGTTTCATTGGTAACCATAGCCCCAGTTCCTGAAAAAAAAGTTTGATTTAATTTTTCCTTGTTTTGAAAAGAAATATTTTTTTTTCACTCGATTTGATCATAATCAGCCTTTCAGCTTTCCTAAATTTCTCCTACAAACAGAAAATAAGTCACTTTTTCCAAAAATCAAGACTCTTCAGTTCATTTCGAAGCGATCTATTACCTTTCCAAGGACCTATCCGAAACGGACGGAACATTGGCGCGACCCGCCGAGAAGACACTGGGCGTTCCGAAACTGTCCTGGAAAACGGAAATGAAGAATTTCAATACGGAAAAGGAGCTAAACCGAGTTGCGGCCGGTGCCAAAGGAGGACGATCCGCCAAAAGAACCGGTCGAACCGAAAGGATTACCGTTTCCATAGCCGGCAAGGGCGGACATACTGAAAAAGATGATACTCATTTTCGAAAAGGTTGTCCTTTTTATGTGGGGCCAAGGGACGCTACACGGAATTTAGCCACACTTAGGACTCTCATAGTGATTTTTGGATCTTTAATATTTCTCATCATACCATAACCTATAATTCAAATAGTAATCATTATAGAAGTTTTTGGAGCTTCGAGTTTTGATGTAATTAATCCGAAGGAATTCAGAGAATTGTAAGTGGTCACTAGACTATTAAAAGGACTAAATCTGTAGGTAGTTATTGGTTCTTATAGTCACAGGCAATCCGAAAGGTCTCAAAAAGAATTTTCAGAAAAAAAAAGACATTTTTCATTATTTAGAAACTCAAAAAGGAGCTTTAGGATCTTCTTTTTGAGGTCGTTTGGACTTTTTCTGCGTTGATGAATATTGGATCTTATTGTTCGTAATGTAATAGTTTAATGGGTTCAAGCGTTGATAATGGTCAAATCTAAGTGGTCATTATAGAGGAAGCTGCGCTTTGAGGGAATAAATTGGCAGAATAACAAGTTATTTAAGATTTAAAAAACTAAAAACCTTTTAGAAGGGGATTATAAACCGCTAGATGACCAGAAAGACTTCCTCAAAGATTTTCAAGAAAATTTCAATTTTTTGGTTTTTTAGAGCGAATTGAGGTAGAGCTTTCACTACGGGCAAATAAATGTCATACAACTATTTCCATTCTCTAAATTCTCGCCAAAACCAACTTCAAGGATCTTCCGGCGTTAAAGTCGAGTTTGTTGGGCGAATCCGAGAGGAGCTGCTGCTGCTGTCGCTGCAGCGCAACCATCTGCTCCCTGGCCTTCTCCTGCATCCGAAGAAGATCGTCGTTCATCAAATTGTCACCCGTAGACCAGCCGTTGTTCAATTCAGAAGACCAGCCGGACGACGACCTTCCAAAGATGGCGTCACTGAAAAGTCAAGAAATTTATATGATTTCCCGAATTTCTTACGATTGCGGGAAGTTTCCGAGCGGTTGTTGGAATGGAGCTGGACCATTGAAAGGACTGAAAAAAACACAAGTTGTGGAAATATCAACAGAGATAGGGATTACTTTGAAGAAAAGCCCTGGGACGAGTAATCACTGAAGGCGCTGCGACTGAGGGGAGCGTTCGGCTGGAAAATTTATTCATTGAGTAAATGAAGTTGCCTTTTATTGATCGAAGCGTGGACCACACACAATAAAAGGTCGAAAGCGAAGATGGACCATCTAAGTCTGAGTACTAAGTAAGTATATGAAGTTTATCCAAAGTGAACTTTATAGGGAAGTATCGGAGTTTTTTGAGGAAATATAGAGAAATTTCATCGAAAAGAATGGTCAAACCTTTTTTTTTCTTGAATAAAAGTTTCACGAGATAGGTTAAGTGAGTTCCTAGCCTTCTTAAGTAAGTTTTTAGCGCAAAACTTTTTTTTATTAAATTGACCCATTTCCCTTCTTTTTTTTCTTCAAATTAAGCTCCATATAAACCGATTGGACGAATGGATCGGGACGCTTCTGAGACCAGGCGGGAGTTCTCTGCTGCTGATGCTGTTTTTTGTTGTTCTGACCGCCCTTTCGGTCTTTCTGGAACTGCTGCTGCGGACGCTGTTGCTGGCTCTTCTTGGGGAAACCCGACGAATTGCTCTGATTCTGGTTCTTCGGACCGTCCCTCTTCTTAGCCGGACCCGCGAATTTCTCTGCAATGCGAGATTGTACAAAGGAAAAGTTTTAAGAGCGACGTCAATGGTTCAAAGTTGTTGAAAGATTCTAGGAGGATCTATTGGCATCCAAAACAAAAAAGGATCGGTCAATCATGGCTTCAGCACTTCGAAACGTTTTCACTTTTCGAAATGAATAAACTTCAAGTTTATTCTGAATTAACGGAGATAGATTCTAAAAAAAGCCCTTTTCTTTCTTCAAAAAAAGAAAGTTGGGCTTTTTTTAAATTTTACGTTGGAATAAAGCTTCATCATTCTCAAAAACTTGCTTTGAAACAGAGATGGAGAAATGGCGCCCCTAAAAGCTTTGGAACGTTTACATTTTAAAGCCGACGTAGGCCTCTATTACCATTTCTTAATAAGGAGCTGCCTAGGGCGTCAGGGCCAAAACCGCGTGGTCTTTTTTCCTTCCCTGCAACATCACCATACCATTCCGATGTTGCGAAAACAAAATGATTGATTCCATATTTAAGTTTACTTGAAATTTCTGACTCTGTGGCGTCAAAAATTTATTTTCTCAGCGGATCCCTAACCATACAATTGAAACTATTCGGTTAAAGAAAAAAAAATAAATATAACCGCATTCCACATGAACATGTTGTTAACTAAACGTCATAACCGCTCAAAATTTAAAAAAAAATAATGAAAACTTGCGAAAACCGAGATTAAAACTCAAAATAATCCCAAATGGTGCAGCGTTTAACGAAAAATGAAAAAAATTGACTTTTCGCCCAACTCTTACAACGTCTTATTACACGCAATCGACATGCAATGACGAGGCTCATTTCACTTTTGAGGTATGATGATTAAGGCGGGCATGTTACGCCCGGAAAGGCCCCTCATTTCTCCCACCTCTGCTTTGAAAGTTCAAATGAACTTTGGCAACCAATTGACCAATGAAATTTTCCAGTTTCATTAGGAAAATGTTGAACTTCATTCTTTTGTCGTGATGGTGTTTATCTGGACCACATGATGGTGATATTTCTCGATAATTCGGGAAACCCATGATTTTGAGATTCGCTCCATCAAGAAATTTTTGGAGTTGGCAAACATTCATTTACCCCGAAAAAATCCGCAAACTAAAATTTCAATGAAAAGAAACATTTGGTCGACATCCAAGATGAGAACCGTTTAAAAAATGAAAGTAAATTTTCCATTTTTTTTTGGCAGAAGAAATTTCTGATTGGATTACAAACTTGTGAAGTTGATTTTCAGAAATCCGTGAAACCGGAACTTCCAACAAATCCAGCCATAAGTTGGGACCTCCCACCAGCCCAAGAAATTTGAAAGCTTCGGTCTAAATCATCCATTCAGATGAAATGGACCTCAACCTGCAGTGTAATTTTCCCACCACCTGAAACCAACCGAATCGATTGACGAGAAAAAAGCTCACTATTGACGTGTTCGGGATTGCCGAAATGGTCAGCGGGCCTTTTGCGAGGCTCGGAAGACGCCGGATCGGCGATCCGTTTTTGCGACGGCGCGTTGTTCGAAAGAGGACCTTTTGGCTTTTTCGCCGACTCCGGCTGCACCTTTGCCGGTGCAAACGCCGGCGACGGTGGGTTTGAATTCGAGGCTTTCGCCTTCGAATTCTGACCACCGCCATTGTTTTGATTCTTCTGATGCTGTGGCTTGTTGAAGGTGTCGCTGAAAATGTGGTGGTCGTGGAAAAGTAGAACTAAGGGAGAAGCTGTGATGAAGTTGTCAACGAAAAAAAAATTGGTGGGATTGAAAAACTCCATAAATTAATTCTTCTCTTGAAGAAGGGCGACTCAGAACGTTGCAAAACGTCTGGAATCAACTCTTGTCGTGAGAAAAAATCTTCAGAAGTTTAATGACCCTTAGAAAACTAGAAAATTTCGTGATGGACCTAAGTTCAGAGTGTTGAAAAAATACAAAACCCTTGTTTCCTTGTGGAAGGGTTCCCAAGAGAATAGTAGCTGCTGAAATCAACTTTTCCTTCAAAGAAGAGAAAGTGAATCAGAAAATTCACAAATCGATTTTCTCGAAGTCTGCCACAAAATGAGCAATTGAGGGATTTTTCTATCAAGGATTGATAGAAAATCCTCTCGATTTGCTTCAGAGGCAACAAAAAAAAGTTCAAAATGAACTTCTCTAAAGTTCTCAAGCTTCTGCAGACAATATAAATAGCTTTCAGCTTCGAAATCTCCAGAAACTACCAACTTTTTGCCCCTCTGGCCTTGGTTAAAAGGCTTTTGGCCTTTCTGTTGATGCTGCTGCTGTTGGAATTTCTGCGGCGGCTTCACCCGCTCGGCTGGTTGAATCTGAAAAGTATTTATAAATTAGGAATGAATTTAAGTTTACCGAAGTGACTGCGGAAGGCGCAATACCATCAAGCTCAAGCTTGCGAAGTTCCAGAGTTCTGCGACGTTTCTAGAAAAAATATCGATATTAAAAACACGGAAAGAATTTTCGAACCTCATCTTCAAGTTCAAGACGACTTTCCTCGGCCGCCATCGTTTCTGGGTTGAAGTCCCTGAAAAATTCAATTATTTCAATATTCATGAACAAAACTCTCACTTGATAACAATGTGCGGAAACTTTTCATGATTTTTCGGCACGACAAAATTAACAGATTGCATTTTTGGAATCTCCTGATTACGCCAATCGTTCGCGTAAACCTGGAAAAGTATATAAGTCGTTAAACTTCTATTTTTCCAACTTCAGAAGAGTTCCTCTTGTTGAGTTGAGTTGTGATCAGCAAATTCAACTGCGTCAGATTCAGCCGAACTTTCTCGTTGTCCTTGTACTCCAAGAAACACTCCAAGATTTCGTTGGGAATCTCAGCGACTTTGATCTGAAATTCAACTCGTTGTTTTTTTTTACTAAAATGTATAACTCCACCTTAGTTGTATCACATTGCGGATAAGGCAACTCAAGACGTTCTCTTTCCAATTCCAAAGCAGTTTTCGGCTTGACCGGCTCGGGCTCAGCGGTTACAGCGGCAACTTCCTTCTCTTTTTCTTCATTTTCCACTATATCCGTTTTTACAGCGCTCTTCTTTGGGATCGTGAAATTCGTATTGAAGACGGCTGATTTCGCACCGCCTTCTTCCTTGATTTCAGCAACATCCTCTTGTTCTTCATTCTTAACGATGTCTTCCATTTTTTCGACACAGTTAGCGTTCGCGTCTTCTTCTTCAACCTTCTCCACTGACAGCGGTTGCTCTGGTACAGTTTCTGACATGTTCTGCAACAATATGGAAATTTTCATCAATATAAAAGAAAGAAAATTGAAATATGAAAGCGAAAAATTGGAGTCGCCAAACTGTTGTCATTGATGCACGCACCATGCAAAACACGCCACGCAAAAACGCACTTTTCAGCGTTGGAGCGCAATTACATCTGTGCGTTTATTTTTGTTTTCATGGACTCGCCGGAGTTCTGCAGAACAAAAAAGAATTCTGTTCGGAAGCGCGATGAAATTGCTTGAAAAAATAAATGAGTACTGTTTTGGAGCAACTTTGGGGCGCCGTTGATGTTTCTTTTGCGTTTTAAAACATGTTCCTTTTTTCCAATAAACACGCCATAACTTATTTTCTCTATTTTAGGTAATTTTTCGTAGATATCTTTTGATCAAACATTGCTTCCCAACTTTTATGGCGATGGTTACCTGTGAAAATGAGTCTTCGCCTTGATAAATTTATATAAGTGCTACTTTAAGCACCTCAAGCTTCACTTTTATAAGTAATTTCGATGTATACCCGATCATAGATCTTCTGTTATCTTTTCACTTCATCAATTTTTCTGTAACCTTTTGTTGAAACACGCTCCGTTGTTGGACTTGAATTGAAATGAACTCCCAGTTTTCAGAAAATGACTAACAAAAAGTCACGCAAAAATGAAGATTTCAAAAAAGTGAAACTGAAAGTGGGAAAGAAACTCAAAAAGACGGCCACAACCGACACCACGATTACAGGTCCTAGCTTTATCCACTACCTATTAATTTATTTTTTCAGCTAAAAGAGTTGTACTGACGACACAGTTTGAGCAAAAGACTCATACTGAAGAAAAGCCGTTGTCATTTCGTGGCCTGACATTGGAAGAGTTGAGCAAGCAGTTGGGACATTTTAATACGGTACTTTGCAACGAAAAACATTTTTTTTTATTTTGCTATTTTCAGAATATTAGAAAAGACGCGATTGTGGGTATCAAGCAGTTACTTACTTCAAGGCCCGATTTGATTTCCTCGCAATTGAGAACTTTGATTCCTTCTATTGCCAGATTAATCAGCGATGTTAGTGAAGATAGGGATATGAAAAATTTTTTTAAATAGAAAAAAAAAAAAAAGTTTTGTTTCCCTAGGTCCTAAACCTATCAGAAAGATTATTTGGATCGATTAAAAAAAGTGAAATCAATTAAGTTTATTTAATTTTAAAATTGGGTAAAATAACAATGTTTTTTTGTTCTCTATCCTGATTTTTACTCAATTTTTTTTCGTCGGTTAGCTGAAAAAAATCGGTTTTTCTAACTTTTTATATTATGTAGTCGTTGCTTCACGATACTTACTTTTTCTGAGAAAAAGATTCTTTTATTTTTCTATTTCTAAAAGAAAAAGTTTAGGCCCGAGATTCTGCGATGAATGGCCAACTCAAATCGTTATTAAAAGTCTGTAAAAACTTCAAATTTTGTTTAAAAAAATGTCCTTTTTCCAGCTTTTATGTACGGCTCCAAGTGATTCGATGGCGGCGCATATAACTCTATTCTTGGCCCACGTTTTCCGTGGCCTCACTCACATGGAGTTGCCGTAAGTTTTAGGGTGTTTAAAGGCTCAGGAGGAGAAGCTTGAAAAATTGCCGTAAAAATTTTTTTTTTTGACTTTGAAGACCATAAAACCTGGATTCTGTTTGTAAAGAAGCAGAGTTTTGTTGAAAAGTCTCTTTTTTTCGGAAACATGCGCCTTTAGACAATCCAAAACAGAATTCAGAACTCAAATTTATTTTTATTCTTTAAATTGGGCTGTAAATAAAACCTTTTTTGAAAAAAAGAGAAACTATTTTTTTCACGGATTATTACAGTAAAACTCATTCTTCTTGTTTTAACTTTACTCTGAAACGTATCTAAACCCTCTTTTTTTGGCTTTTCGAATATTTTCGTTTCCAAATATTCAGTTCAGAAGTTCAAATTTGAAGGAAATTTGAAATTTCTGCCGTTTTTCAAAGTAATTTCCGCGAAATTATCTCTGATTATCCAAAATCCAGTTATCTTTTTCTCTGGCGGCTGTATTGCGGAATCACTTAATTACGGAATTCACTTCACAAATTTACATCAAAAAGACGTATTTTCGGAAATTCCTCTTTTTCTGCTTCTTTGAATCCGGATTTGTAGGAAAAAGATGGGTTTTCATTTTATTTTTCTATTTTCCTATGTCAATTTACATGTGCTAGTATCACAGTATCTTTTCCAGAGTCCGAAATTTCGCCCTATCGATTCTGGCGATTCTGATGGCCGCCTATCCTCAGCTCTGCCGGAACAACGCCGATCTCTTCCCTTCTTTTGTCAATTTTCTCGGAAGTTCCCGGAAACCCAATTGGAATGCTCCCAACTTCCTGGAGACCATTGTTTCATTTCTAGATGTTTTTTTTTCGTTTTCTTTTCAAAGATAATCAATTTCTTCCAGATTTATGACGTTTCGAAGCGTCGAGAAGTGAAGCCGTGCGAAGTTGAAATCAGTTTTGATAAAATAACGATGAAAGGAGATTTCGATTTGATTTCAATATTTCGGGAGGTTAGTTTTTTTGGTTTTGATGAGATGGTGGTAATTTTTTGTGATGATTATTTGAGATTTTTCTAATAAATGCAGATTTGCAAGTTTTTAAATTTTTGATATATTTTTCAGAACTTTCACTCGCCAATAATATTGATTTTCTAGTTATATCAATACCATCTTAACCCATTGAACCAAAGAACGAAGAACAGCACCTCGACTTTAGAGTTTATTTTGCCCCTTGAGTAAATATTTATACTCGACCATTTTCTGGTGTTGAATTTGACAATTTTTCTTTTAGCTAGCTATAGTTTCATAGATTTCAACAAGGAAATAGGCAAATTCGGAAAGGGTGGAAAAAGGCTCCATAGAAATGTTTCTGTCAGGGTTACAAAGGTTCCGTTTCGATGCCTTTTTGCGCCATTTTCTCGGCCCTTATGCACCTTTTTTGCTGCCTTTCCCTTTTTCCACTGTTTCTCGAGCCTTTAAGATCCCAGAAAAATGGAAGTATTGATAAAGGGAACCTTTTTGCTGCTTTTTGCTGCCTTTTTGATGACTTTTTGCTGCCATTTTGATGCCTTTTTGCTGCCTTTTTGTTGCCTTTCTGCGGCCTTTTTCGAGCCTCTCCCTTTAAGCGGCCATTATCACCGCTCCGATTTTGCCCGAGTTATTAAAATTAACAGCTGGAAATTTAAAAAATGTCAATTCGATATCAGGAAAACGCGTCTCCTTTCGATTTCCCCGTGTTCACGACGACGAAAAGCGCCTCGGTCTCTCCTTTCGAACTTCCGACGGCCTTTTTGGACCTCAGCAAAGTCCTGGCCCCGCTCTTGAGTAAGTAATATCAGTGTAGAGTACTGAGTTTCCTATCCTCGATTTTTTTTTCTCTTAAATTTGAGCTAAGTAATTTTCCTAGCAGACACTTATCATGTTCAAAATACAATTGGTGTTGAAATCAAGGTCAAAAATTATTAAATTTCTCAAGTTTAATAGTTTTTCTATTGTTTTAGCTTTGAATATTGGTTTGTAGCTCTTGATGTTTCCAATGATTTAGATGAATATGTATTATTAAGCGTGTTATTCTTTACCAGCAGACACTAGGATCTGTACAAAAAAATAATTTGCGTTGAAATTTAGATCAAAAAGGAACAAAATTCGCTTTTTCAATAGTTAATTTTCAAATCTTAGCGCTTTTTTTGGCTCAAAAATCATAATTTCTTGCAGATTTGCCCTATCAAGTGTAAAATCCAGAAATTGGTTGCTTTTTATTTCCAGCGGCCTGTATTCTGGAAGACAATAAAGGCGGTTTCGTTTCTGACGCTTGCAAGATGTTGGAAACGATCGGCCGAGCGGCTCAAAGTCAACCGAATGCCTTTTTGATGCCCGATTTTAAGGTGAAATAATTTAGTTTTTTGAAGAATTTAAGAATTTGTGTGAAAATTGACAGCAAAAATAATTTTAAAAAAATTTTCCCTCAAAATTTGCAAGCTTTTCACTATTTTCCGAGTGACGTGGAGAAATTTCGAAGTAGTTTTCTGGAAAAAAAATTTTCCCAGTTTTTTTCAATGTTTTTTTCTGGTACCTGAATGCGAATTCTGCGCTCTGAAATTTCATCTTTTTTTTGTTTCATAGAATCATTTTTCAGCAAAAAGCCCAAAGCTCCATGGAACAGGTGAAGAAAGCGGTGGGATTGCGGAAAAAAGGCTCAAAGTTAAGAAAATCGGCTGATTGGCTCTTTGTTTAGAACTTCTACTGGTGTTTTTCCTTTCAAAAATGTGTATATTAATTCATTTATTCGCATTCTTATCAAGTTGTTTTAATCTCTTTATCACTTTCTTATCATTTTTTTTCTTCTCATTCCGATAAAATCTTTGATATTGTTAAGAAAAAAACCTTTTATCGTCATTTATTACATTCTGAAAGCTTCAAGGGATGATGATGATATTCCCAAGTGGTTTTGTTCTATTTCGCAAGCTGAAGTTTTTTTTCTGTTTGTCAGCCTTTTTGTTGATTTTCTGTTGTTGAACTTTGTTGAGTTGATTCTTGTTTTGTCTCTTTTTTCAAAGAGTTGCATAAATTTTTATTTTTTAGTTCTTTTTGATGGTTTCTTTTCGAATTTGGAAAGGGAGATGGATTTCCGATGCTTTGTTTTACGTTTTCCGTCAGGGATTTTTTCGAAGTAAAATTTTTGCCCTATGAATGAATTTTGTAAGAAATTTGCGCTATATTGAGTATTCTTATATTATTTGCTTGTTTTTTTTTTTGAACTATTATTTTTAGATTTCACATGGGGTTTTCACCGTACTTGGACGAATGTCGGCACGGTTTTTGGCCGATTCAGCCAGCGTGCTCTAAAGTTTGTTTTATATTATATTTTTCGAAAACAAAACTTTTTGAGGTCATATCTTTCGGTGTATTTTTGGCATTTACTGTGCTACACTTGATAATTGTCTTTTTGCCCAATCCGCCAAGCGGTTATCGGAGAATCGGTTAGTTTGAAGGTTTTTTGAAGGCGCAGACGTTAGAATTTATTTCAAGACTCTTAACTATTCTCCCTTCTATTTTTCAATCTGAACTTCTTCTTTTTTGATAAATATATGTAGTCTATTTCGCGCAAGCGTGTCACTATTTTTGTTTTCCTCGAAGATTCCTTTCGATGAGCGCGGCCGCGTATTAAATCTAAAAAGGAGTTATTTATCTTCATTTTAATTATAGATGGGATTTTTTTCTTAGAATATTAATATCTTTGAAATTTTTTGGCGACCCTTGGATGAATATCAGCCAGAAAATTGATTTTATTTACTATAAACGTCCAATCTCGCTTTTTGCGCGTCGCTTTTCATGCATCGCGTGCACTGCGTACAACACATTTTATTTTCCGCCGTTGTGGTGCGTTGCGCGCGGCCTTTTTCTGTATACGCGCCTTTAATATAACGTAATGCCGTGTTCAAAGTAATTTCCGCGAAATGCAAAATGGTCTCTGACCCTCCAAAATTAAGTTATGTTTCTCTTTCTCTGACGGCTATTTTGAATTTCGCGGAATCACTTTGAACACGGCATAAATTTTGGGCCAAATAAAAGGCGCATGGACTCAATCAGGCCGCGCGCATCGAAAGGAAGCTTTACAAAAGCTCAGAGAAAAAAAATCGCGAGAAGCTGGAGCAGAATGGGCTATGTTAAAAAAAATTATGTGTAAGGAAAGAGGCGCCGAAAAAAAAAAATGAATACCACAGTTGTTTTATAGCCCATTCCGCACCAGCTTGTCACAATTTTTGTGTCCTTCCAAGCTACAGGATCACTAGCTTCGAAATTCTCGTCCTTATATCTGTCCATGCGCCTTTTATTTGGCCTGAAAATTCCACTAAATTAAAGGCGCATGCTCAAATAAAGGTCGCGCGCCTCAGAGAGAAGGGATCTGTAGCTCGAAGGATAATCGAAAACTTAACAAGCTGGCGCGGAGTAAGCTATATGGAGGCGAAATCCAAGGAGTTTTCCACAAAGTGAACTTTCGAAAATTCACAGGAGCCCCCTGCGTCGTTAAATGTTTCCCATCAAGCTAGATTTCACTGTTGATAATTTGAGTGAAATGAAATAATTATATTTTTAACTTTAGACTGCAACGGCCATGTGGTGCGAACCATCCCGGCTTCTCTCATTTTCTCCGTTTTGCTGACTTTTTTGCTCGTCTGCGAGAGCATTTTCTATCTTTCCTATGTCTTCTATGTTCATACCTACACTCACATGCTCCTGGCCTACTGTATTGCCAAATTGGTGGGTCTCGAGTGGAAAATATTATTATTCGCATGACTTCAGTCGTTCTGGCTGTTATCTCTCTGCTCGTTGGTCCGATGGCGATTTTTGTCCCATTTGCCGGTTTCTTTGGCTCTCAGCTTCTCGGCCGCTTTATTACTCGATTTGTGGCCGATCACCGCTTGGAACACCTATTTTGATAAGAAGTGAATTTTGAAACACGAAATAGACCGAATTTGACAATTTCAGAACCCTGAAAAATGGAGAATTTCTATTTTACGTCATCGAAACTTCCCTGTCTTCCGCGGTCTTCTTCACGGCCTTGATTGCACCTTCTCTGGGCAAGGAAAGCGCCGAATCGGTGAGTAAAAATAAATTTCAGAGGAAAATAAATAATCGCATTGGAAAGGTAAGAAGAAATTCAGTTCAAGTAAACTGAAACTAGAATAATTTAGTCCAAAATGCTTGGGAATTTCAGAGTGGTCCCTATAGGGGTTGGGGGGAAAAAAACCCTTTCGGTGGCCGAAAAAGTGGTCCCTATAGAGGTTTAGGGTCTGACCATTAGCCCCTGATGCTTAAGAGGACCCTATAGGGCTCTCAATTTCATTCAAAAACGCTAATTATCCAGTTTTTCCAATGGAAATGCTTCTTCGCTTGAGGTTTATAACAACTATCGACTAGAATGACCCCTATAAGGACCTCTTTTTCAAGCTTTAGTGGCCGGGGGTTGGTAAAGTGATCCCTAGAGAGGACTCTCCAAGAGCCCTCAAGGTTTCTCCTATAGGGCCACTCTCGAGAACACTCTCCTTTTTTTTTGCCCCTATGGGGACCACTCTGCAGAAAGTTCCCCCTATATGGTGCACTCTCCTTTGTTTTGTGCCCCTATAGGGACTTCTCTGGAGAAAGTGGCCCCTATAGGGACCACTTTGGAGAGAGTGCTGCTTTCTTTTTCCAAGCTTCTGATTGACCCAAATATATCTGGTATTTTGTTTGGTCGCTTATGGACAGGCTAATGATTTACTGCGCCAGACCTGGAGCGGCTTCTCGCGCAAAGTCTCCTTGATCGCACCGTACGTCTGGCCAAAGAAGAGCGTCGCCTTACAGCTTCGGGTGGCCGTTTGCATTTTATTACTCATCATTGGAAGATTGATCAATGTCGCTCTACCGCTCTACAGTAAATGGATCGGTAAAAATCTTCAAAAGGATATTTTAATGGCCTTCAAATTTCAGTGGACAGTCTGGCCAACCCTGCGACTTTCCAATATTCGCTGATTTTTATTTCGACAGTTTTAAAGTTTCTGCAAGGGAATGGAGGTCGAATTGTAACATTTAGAGTTAAAAAGTCCGTATTTTTCAGCGATGGGAGGATTTTTGAACACTCTGAGAACTTATTTGTGGATTCCTATTCAGCAGTATACGACTAGAGAGTTGGAGGTTTGCAAACAATAAAAAAAGAAGGAAAAAAGAATATTTGAAGGTGGAATTATTCGCCCATCTGCATTCGTTGTCGCTCCGCTGGCACTTGTCCAGGAAAACTGGACTCGTTTTGAGGGTTATGGACCGGGGAACGAGCTCTGTTAACAGCATTTTGAAGTGAGAAGAGTGAAAATTTAGCTTTTGAAGTTGGGGATTTGACTGGGTCCAATAAGTCTGATCTAGGAGAGATTTCGATTCTGGAAAGTCCCAAAAATATACAAGAAAGAAAAAAAAAAGTCTGTGAGTATAGTGCATTCCGCACGAGAAGGTTGAAAAATAACAAAAAAGAAAAAGCTACCGTAAACACAATTTTTTGCTCTATAAATAAATTCAATTTACCTTTTAAAAAGGTAACTTCGCTTTTCGAATTTTCAAATTGTTCTTCGACCTCTTTAGAAATTAGGATTTTCAGACTATATCACACATGGTGTAGGCTTGAAGACTTTGGAAAAACCATATTATTAGAAAAATAATCTTGAAGGAGATTGACCCATTGAAAGTTGAGACATAGTTGGACAAGTAGAGAGCTAACTCAGCCCGGGAGGAGTTCGATCACAAAAATTTTGGCAAATTTGAAATAAGATCAAATTACAACCTCAGGGAGGTATTTTCGGCAACAATAATACAAGTTTTAGCCTCAGGGAGGTATTATTAGCTTTAAACTAGGAAAACTTGGGACAAGGGGGTGGCGGCCTCAAAAAAAATGCACATGTATGTTTGGGTACTGAATTTCTCCAAGAACACGAGAAAGCTGACAACTTTTCACTCAACAGAAGAAACGCAAATATTTAAAATACAAAAAAAGTTCATTTCCAGCTACATTCTGTTCAACATCGTCCCGACAATCGCCGACATTGCCATTGCCGTCGTCTTCTTTTTTTCGACCTTCAATGTTTATTTCGGGATCATTGTCTTCGCAACGATGGCCTTGTACTTGGGTCAGTATATAATCCAAAAATGAGCTAAAAGAAAATTTCGCGATGGAGTAATTTGGCAGCCTGGAAAGCGAATTGTAGAACGAATTTAGTGTTTTTCGAAAACATCGAAGCGGATTTGAACAGTTCGAGAAGAGAAGAAGATTCGAAATCTCTCTTTTTCCAGTCGTGACGATTTACGTGACCGAGTGGCGGACCAAGTTTATCCGATTGTCCAATGAAATGGACAACAAAAGCAGTGCGATGGCCACGGATTCGTTGCTGAACTACGAGACGGTCAAGTACTACGGAAATGAGACCTACGAAGTCAATCGCTTCAGGACTTCTATTCAAAAGTGAGATCTTTTTAAAAATATAAGCGTTACTTATAGCCTATTCTACACCATTTTAAAAAAGACTAACTTCGAATCCAGACCTTTGCAGTTTTTAGAGCAAGAGCTTTTTTATGCTGTGCTCTTAAATTGTGACCGTCTCCAGAAGAGCATTAAGCTTAGGCGAATTGTTCGTTTTTCGTTTTTTCATTCGTTTTTTTTTTGATACATTAGGCCACGCCATTTTTTTTTAAATAAATAGTTTGGCTACGCCCCTTTTTTGATTAACTAGGTTAGGTCACACCTTTTTTTAAAACACAGCTAGATTAAGCCACGTCCTTTTTTTTTAAACATAACTAGATTAGGCCACGCCTTTTTTTTTAAAGCATAACTTGATTAGGCCACGCCCTTTTTTTTCAAAAATTAATTTTGAGGTAATTCATGAGTCATCTTGGAATATTTTCAGCTACCAAGACGCAGAATGGAAATCGCAAGCCTCGCTGGCCCTCCTCAACATGTCACAAAATGCGATTATTGGAGTCGGCCTCATGTCGGGATCCCTTCTAGTCGCTTATCTCATCACTGTGGACAGCACTCTGACGGTTTTCCTCACACTTTTTCAAACGGTAATTATTATTTTCAGGTCGGCGACTACGTGCTCTTCACCACCTACATCTTGCAGCTCTACTCGCCGTTGAACTTTTTTGGAACTGTCTACAGGTTTTTCCAGAAGAAATAATGATAAAATAACTTCTGGGAGCCTTCAGAGTGATCCAGAAGTCTTTCATCGACATGGAGAATATGTTTGACCTGATGAACGAGGAGATTGAGGTTTTTGAGGGGGATAAACGTGAAATTTTACTGGTCGCATGTGGAATGGCTCAACAGCAGTTTTGCTTGTATTTTGAGCATTTATAGCGGCCGAAAATGGATAAAAATAACGGAAGTTCACGGGAAAATGGCAAATACGACTACCGGGGTTGAACCTAGGACATTTGGGGTGATAATTTAAGCGGTCAGCCGCCAAAATCGGACAAAAAATGACCAAAACCCACGTTTTCCAAGCCGAAAATGCGTGGAAGAAGATTTTATCGGCAAAAACGACTACCGGGGTTGAACCTAGGACTTCTGGGATGATAATTTGAGCGTTCAGCCGCCAAAATCGGACAAAAATGATGAAATTCCACGTTTTTCAAGCCGAAAATGCGTGGAAGAAGCGGTTAATGGCAAAAACGACCACCGGGGCTGAACTCAGGACCTCTGGAATGATATCTTAAGCGTTCAGCCGCTAAAATTGGACAAAAAATGACCAAAATGCCCGTTTTTCAAGCCAAAAATGCGTGGAAGAAGCTGATAATGGCAAAAACGACTAGCGGGGTTGAACCTAGAACTTCTGGAATGGTAGTTAGCGGGTGCCAATCGAGCCAATCCGAGTACATTTTTTTAAATCTGATTTTTTCTCAATTTAAAAAAATTTCAGGTAAAAGACAGCCCGATGGCTATCACTTATCAGCCGACGGAGGGAAAAATAACCGTCAAAGGCTTGTCATTCTCCTACAATCCTGAGAACGTGGTCCTGAACGATATCAGCTTCGAAGTCGGCAAAGGACATACGGTCGCCTTGGTGAGATTTGCTGAGGAAAAAAAAAAATATAACTTTTAGCTGAATTTTTCAAGTCGGTTCTGACCTTTTCGTGTTGGAAAGTTCTACCGAAGTTTATGAAAAATGAATTTTCGGAGTTATTTTTGAAAAAAAAAATTGGGAAGAAAAGAAATAGGAAGTTTTTGAATGTAATGTCAAAGTTTAAAAAAAGTTCAAAAAAATTCAAAAAAAGCCAAATAAGGAAGTTTTTAATTTGAACTATATAAAATTCTCAAAATCAGGAGCGATTATTCAAAAAAGCCCAAAAGGAGTAGAATTTCCGGCCTTCAACTTTAAATAATTCAGAAATTCAAAAAAAAAGCCAAATAAGGAAGGGGAATTTGTATTGATTTGAACTGCATAAAGTTCAGAAAATCAGGGGTGATTATTCAAAAAAAGAAAAAGAAGGACAAGGAAGTTTTTTCGTAATCTATTGAACTTTAAAAAAATACCAAATTAGGAATGATCATTAAAAAAGAGCCAAAAAAAGGAGTATAGTTTGTTCATATTTTGAATGTCAAGTAGAATGACGTCATTCGAAAACGCTCTGTGGATGGCTCGCTCTCAGATTGGTTTATCGCGTCATTAGGGGCGGAGCTTGAACGAAGACTTGACTTTTGCAATTTGAACAGACTATGGGATTTTTGCTTGTACTTGAACTGTATAAACTCGAAATATAAATCAAGGTCGGACCGTCTGGAAGCGGAAAAAGTACGATGATCCGCCTTCTGTTCCGATTATTCGAAGCCGGCAACGGAGTGATCGAATTCGACGGAAACGACGTCAAAGATGTCAAACTGGCGTCTCTAAGAAAGCAAATCGGCATCGTCCCACAAGATACCGTCCTCTTCAATGACACTATCAAGTTTATCCACCATGAAATGGAATAAATCAACTTTTCTTACCTCAGGTACAATATCAAGTTTGGCGATCCCAAGGCCAGCGACGAGGAAATCATCGAAGCGGCCAAGGCAGCCATGATCCACGACAAGATCGTCTCCCTTCCTGATGGTGAATTTTGGACTGAAATTGAGATTTTGGATCGTGTTTTTAGTTACAAAACTCGCAGTTTTTACAAGATTCTTTTATTAAAAAAATGTAATCGAGAATTAAGCTCATCTTTGTCGTGTTACAGAACGGATCACGATCGATCGAATCAAAAAAAAAGTTCAAAAAAAGTTTTTAACTTTAATGTTCCAAATCGAGTTTTAAGCTCATTCTTGTCGTTACAAAACCGATCATAATCGCTTTTTTTTTCGAAGATTTTATGGATTTTCAAAAAACAAAAGTCTCATCTTCGTTTTAGTCTTGAAAAATGTCGAAATATACAATTTCACTCCAAGACTTTCAAAATTAAAACTGTCTGCGCTCTCTCCTTCTCTCGCTGATCTCACAGCTTTCTGAGAGATCGAGAAAGTGCAGACGGTTAGACAGTTCATCCATGAGGAATTTTGCAACTTTCTAGCGAAAATTTGGTGTATTTCAACTCCGAAACTTTTTTTCGTCTGATTGTCTGCGCTCTCTTCTTCTCTCGCTGATCTCACAACTTTCTGAGAGATCGAGAGATTGCAGACGGTTAGACAGTTCATCCAGGATTTTATTGGATTTTTTTTTGAATGCAACTCTCTAGCAAAAATTAGGTTTGCTTCAACTCTGAAACTTGTCATTGTCTAACCGTCTGCGTTATCTTTATCTCTAAACGGCGAAGATCACGAGACAACCGCTGAGAGAGCGAGAGAGCGTAGAGAATCAGAGTTTTGAGTAAATGTTCGGGATGACTTTCAAAAGCCTCATTATTTTTTATGTGGTTCCTGATGAGAGAGAACGAGAGAGCGCAGCTAGTTAGACAACTATTACTTCAGGCTACGAAACGCTGGTCGGAGAACGAGGCCTGAAGCTTTCCGGAGGCGAGAAGCAGCGTGTCGCCATCGCTCGGACGATTCTGAAGAAGCCCCAGTTCATCTTCCTGGACGAGGTCGGTTGCAAATCGAAGCTCTGTCTTCAGTTGGAGAAGTTCAGGCGACGTCGGCCCTGGACACGCACACGGAAAGGGCGATCCAACGTTGTTTGGAGCAGCTCTGCTCCTCCAGAACTGGCGTCGTCGTTGCTCATCGGCTCTCCACCGTCGTCAACGCCGACATGATTCTGGTCCTCGACAAGGGCAAGATTATCGAGCGCGGAAGGTATAGCTTGCATCTGTAGTTTGAACATGAAAAAATTGGAAAACTATTTTCAAGGAAAAAAAAATGAGTTGAGAATCTCCTGAAACTACTAGATCTTCGGCGGGGAGATGATTTATAGCTTGAGCCATCGAAAAAAGGGTCCTGACACGATAATGCACGAGATAGCGCTTTGCTTGTGGAGATCGCAGACAGAACACGCCCCCTTAGCGTCCCAAGCTAGCCGTGAAGCTACATAGTCTGCTCAGATTTGAAATGTCAAGTAGAATGACGTCATTCGAAAACACTCTGTGGATGGCTCGTTCTCTGACTGGTTTACCGCGCGATTAGGGGCGGAGCTTGAGCGACCAATTGACATTCAAAGGTTTAACAGGCTATAGATATGAAGAATAATATTCACATATAGTCTATTCAGATTTTGAATGTCAAGTCGTCGCTCAAGCTCCGCCCCTTATCACCCGATGAACCAATCAGAGAGCGAGCCATCCATAGATTGTTTTTGAATGACGTCATTGCACTAGACATTAAAAATATGAACAGACTCTTTGAGTTTTCAAAATATTTTATTTCTTTTCAGATTTTGACTTGGCCAGGAAATAGAGTTCATAGAATCATGTGCACGATATTTCAGTTTTTCCCAAGTTTCCGATTTTTTTTTTCCAGTCACAAGGCTCTGTTGGCGTTCAAAGGCGTCTACAGCCGCATGTGGGCAAGCCAGAACGCTGAGCGAAGATCCGTTTCTTCCTCCGAGCCTGGAGACACCCCAGAATGACTTTTTCTTACTTTTTTCCAAATTTGAAACGGCTACAGTGTATATAGTTTAAGTTTGATTCGATTTTTAGTGATTTTACTTCGAATTTTAACCCTCTGTATTTTTCTTTGTCACTTTCTGACTTTGTAGGAGCTTTGGAGCTCTAGAAAGGATAATATATAAATTGATAACCCTCTAAAGTTTCTCCGTGACATTTCTTAGCCTTAGAGCAACGTTGTGAAGACTTAAAAGCCGTGTTTTTCATATTTTTTTATTTTTTTGAACTACGTTTTGTTATTTTTTTCCTTTTGTTATTGTAGGCATCGATGGGCTTATCTTTAATAAAAATAACCGACCTTTTTAATTATTTTTTTCAGTGGAGCGCGTTTGTGTTGAAAAAAACGGCTTCCCCAAGTTTGCCAGTTTTTTTGAAAAAGACCGGTGTCTCTAAGCATTTTTTTCACTGGTTTTTAGACCCGCTGTAGTTCTCTTATTTTCCTTGATAGTTTTGATCTCTCGATTGATTTTTGATAATCTGATAAAATGGACTTAGTTTTTTTCTTTCAAGTTGTGTGCCAAATGTGTTTTTTTTTCTGAATGAAACATTTTCTCAATGATTTCATTGAAATTTCGTTGCATCATGAAATTATTGATGTCATATGTGAAGAAGAAAGACGTTTTTTATATGAATTTTTTGATTTTTTGGAATAATTTTCAGATGGGATTCGAATAGCTCTGTGCAGATTTTCCTGGTCGATTTTCGGTGCGTACTTTTTCTCAATTTTTTATATTATTTTTGATTTATAAAGAGGGAAAATAGTAATACTGAAAGAAGGAGATTCAGTAGAAAAAAATTTTGAGAATCGGAGGTACCTTTTTCAAATCAAAGGTACATGGAAATAACTTTTGGACTGTTTAGTTATGGAATTTTCAATTTTCTGGGAAATTTTTCAGTGGCCACTATAGGGTTTTGAAGTTTTAGTGGTTACTATAGTAGTCAAATTAATGGGCACTTAAGAGGTTGATAATTAGTGGCCACTATAGAGGTCTAAGTGCTACTACTAGAGCACTAAACAATTTAGTGGCCACTTTAGGGATCAATGGATCATCATAACTGGTTCAACCTGTTTGTTTTAAAATTATCAGAGTTACTGGAAGGATTACTGGATGAAAAACTACTGAAGTGGCCACTAAGACGGAAAAAAGTGGCCACTCCAGTGTCCTCTCCGAGTAGTCCTTGGCGAGCCTCTATAATGGCCACTAAAAATTTTCCCAATTTTTTTTTGTGAACTGTTTTGGTCTGCTTAGCTTTGAATGTTCACTAGTCTGTTCAGATTTTGAAGGTCGAGCCGTCGCTCAAGCTCCGCCCCTAAATTCCCGATAAACCAATCAGAGAGCGAGCCATCCACAGAGTCTTTCCGAATGACGTCATTTTACTTGACTTTTAAACTATGAACAGGCTATAACTTTTGGTCTTCTTAAAATGATTTTTGTCAGTTTTTTTTGTACCTGTAGTTGATGGACTCATTCACACCTTCACGGACTATTAAATCCCCTTTTTATTGTCCTTCCGATTGGTCGGACCCTTGTGTTTGAATCGCCTCGGACGTGTAGTGAATGACCACCTGATCGCGTGTACTTGACGGCTGTTGGAATTCTTCCCGTGTTTCTTCTTTTTTTTTCTCCTGTCGTACATTCCCAACAGCTGACCACGTTTTCATGTTATTCCACTGATCACACCTGGGATTTGTAACTAATTAGCTGAAGTTTCTGGAGTTGAGATTCCAATTTTTTTCAAAAAAATATTTGTAGACTTGAAATTTCGTCTGATTTTTTTGGAAGCTTACAATTTTTTTCCTCTTTATCACTATATTTTTCCTTGGGTTTGAGTTTAAATTGATGTTTTTTTATTAGTAGGAAAAATCATTCGATCGGATTCCGATTTTTAGTTTTATTTTTGAAAAAAATAGGAAGAAAAAGTTTACTTTTTTTCAAAAAAAGAAAATAACAGCCAGTTTGAAGGTCACATTTTTTTAAGGTCACATCGATAATTTTTTTCTTGAATATTTGTTCCCTTTTCACGAAAAAATTGACGAGGCGACACCAAAATGACACCACGGCGGAAAATAAAATGTTTTGTACGCAGTGCACGCGATGCATTAAAAGCGACGCGTAAAAAGCGAGATTGACTGTTTATTATGAATAAAATCAATTTTCCGGCTGTTATTCCTCCAGGGATCGCCGAAAGAATGATCTAAAATATTAAGATTTTAAAAAAATCACATCTAGAACTAAAATGAAGGGATTGAATCGACCTTTTCTGGTAAAAGTTGAAGTGGTTCCTTAAGTGAAACTCTGTAGGAGATTGTTGTCCCTATAGGACCCATTTAAGCTTTTCCCCTCCAAAGCTATTTCCGAATATTTTTGAGCCAAAAAGCTTGAAAAATGCCTTTCCCGTACAAAAACCCCCATCGAAATCTGATTCCGTTTTCCAAAGATCTTGTCAAAGTTTCTCTAAAGATCTATGAGATGTCTAAATTTCGGCCAGAAGAAAAGCGAGCAAAAAAAAAAAACAAGACATGGCCAAGTCAACAAGGTGACAGCCAGACGGATGCTTTTCCTCCCCCCATATTCATCAGTTTTTTTTTCTTCTTTTCTCCTCACACGTTAAAATAAACATTGCCGTTCGTTCGGCGTGTGCCCTCTGGTCATTGGTTGTGGGGCCAAGGCAAAATATAAATATTATTTTTTTTTTCAGCCTCAAAAACCTGTTCTGTTTTGTCAACTTGGCTGCTTTTGTTGGTTTTGGTTACCGTAATCTTGTCGTTTTCAAAGAGTTTTGAAACCGATTTGAGAATGATCAGAAGAGCTGAAAAAACTACACCATCTCCAAATTTTGAATTATTATCACTTATTTCATATCTGAAACGTATTTTGAACCGCTTTATTATGAAGGAAATGACAATAGGTTTGAAAAAAAACCTTCGTCTATTTTTAATTTATTTTTCACGCAACTTTTCATTTAAACGATCTTCCCGTTCTTTTGAAGAAAAAGGTAGTACAAAATGAAAAATAAGACAAAATTTTACCACGCTTTTAAATAAAAGTTACTCGCTCACTTTAAATTAGCGAAATAATAAAATTCGAATTATTTTTATGGGTTTTCCCAGCTGTGATTCAAAACTAGCAATACGTCCAAAATTGCTATCACTTGCAACTTCCTAAGTGGCGATAAAGCCGTCAAACGGCCGCCAAGCGTCCATCAGCAGTCTTGTCCGAGTGGTTAAGGAGATTGACTAGAAATCAATTGGGCTCTGCCCGCGTAGGTTCGAATCCTGCAGACTGCGAATCTTTTTTGCCATATCCCAGAACTTTTTTTACGTTCAATTCAGGAATTTTTTATAGTTTTCTTCTTTTATTAGCCTTAAATTTGTCTGTGGAAGCCAATTATTCTAGAAATCTTCGTACCCACGCTAAAATTACATGAAAGGCTTGTTTATATGGCAAAAACTAGAGTTTTTACGTCATTCGCACATATATTTATCCCATCCCGGAGCTGTATTTGGATACTGGAGGTCTATAAATGGATGGATGAAGTTATTTTTTGTCCGGCTCCTGCAAAAATGTAAATATTTTCCGGGTAGTTATTCTCCGGAAAGAAGCTCATTTTTTCAAGCTTTATAGTTTGTTTGAAACTATTAAAAAGCAACCAACAGCCTTGTTCGTTGGAGCGCACTTCACGACCCTAAAAAGACTGTTTTTTGATTATTTTCAAGATTTCAATGATTTCAATCATCTTTTTCTGATCAGTTTCTCAAATTTCTGCCCATTTTTCATTCTACCGTAATCTCAAATCGAACATCATCTTTTCCTCCAGACAAGTGTGTAAAGTTGTGGTTAGGCAGGGGTGACGAAAGTTGTTCTTTGTGAATTGAGAGAAGAATAACACATGTTTTACATTGTTTTTGATGAGTGGGGATCAGGGTGGTTCGAGATGACAAAAATTACCCCAAAAGTTTTTCGAGACGAGTCGTGGAGTTTTCGCCGACCCATCTCGAAAAATTGGGACGAGCTTTTTTTTTCAGTTTGAAATGTCTATTCATCGCTACCGTTTCAGCTATAAACTTGCTTCTGTTGTTTTTTCTTTGGATTATATCTTTTTTTAATATTCATATATATTTCAATTTTTATGTTCAAATTTCAATCCAATTTTAGCTACGCTCAAAAAAATAGTCAGAAATGACATAGAAATTTCATTCAACAGGGATTCTTGAACAACATTTGATTAAAAAAACAATTAAACGGGGTACAGTAAATATTAAAATGTACAACAAATATGTGTAGACTTTGAACATCAACGAGAAAAAAAAGACATTGAAAAAAACATTATTTTTGAACAGATTAATGCTCAGAGAAGTAGACGCCGCGATGATGAAGCAGGTCTTCATCGAGCAGAATGGATTCCTGAGACAATTTTGATGATAACTGAGAAATAATTAATCCTTTTAATATCGTAGTTTTTGGTAGTTTCATTATCGTGTGAGGAAGAGAGAGCGAGAGACGCATTTTTTTTTCTCTAGTGTCTCTTAATTTCTCGCGCTCTCTCGCTGTCATCAAACCATTTTTGTCGGAGAAGAGAAGTTTTTTCGAATTAATGATCGAAACTCCGTCTTGGCGAACAAGAGAGCTCGGAAATCAAAAAGACGCAGACATTTCATTTTCTTGGCGTCTCTGCGATTCACACGCTCAATCACTTATGACGTCATTAGTCAATCATTTGGGTAGTAAAAAGAATTGAATCGAAAACCTGATTTCTAGAAATTGAACGTGAATCTCTAATTCTCTACTTTCTCTACGGTTCCTGCGTTTTCTCGCCTAGAAAATTATCCTTTTTTTGGAAAAGAAAAAATCGTAAAATTTTTCAAAAAGTAAAAGAGTAGGATAATCGAAAGAGCGTTAAAGCCGCGGAGACGCGAATCTCTCTCAATCTCTAATCTCTCTGCGTTTTTCACGCTCTCTAGCCGCCGAGACGCGAATATCTCTCAATCTCTAATCTCTCTGCGTTTCCCATGCTATCTAGCTTTTCGTATAGACTTTTTAGAGTGGTAGATTTTCTTCTGACGCTTTTTGAAGCCTCTTTTTACCTGGTCCGGTTTTATGTCCACTGAAACCTCGTGAGCTTGAGTGGCCGGCAAAATTCTTCTAAAATTAAATCTTCTATTTTTTTTCTCTATTTCTCAAACCTCGGTTCCCACTGGCTAACAGGTTGATAGAAGTTCTCCGGTTCCACTTCAAAGGCCTGGAAACCGACGAGAAAGGTTATATTATTTCCGATTTCGTTTACCTTTTTGGCCTGTTTCCTCCTTTTGTTTTGACCTTGCCTGAGCTTGTTCAAGTCCTGACGAGCTTCGAGAAGCGATTCCCGTGTTCCGGCGAGTTCGGCCTTGAGTTCGTAAATTTCCTCGTCTCTCTTCTTCAGTTCGGCTTTTGCCTTTTGCATTTCGACCGAGTTGCGCTCTTCGTTTTGCCGATGAGCTTTCAACTCGCTGGCCAGCATCTTGCTCATGCTCTTCTCCATGTTTTTTCTGTTGAACGTTGGAATTTTGAAAAGTTCTTCTTTCATCGCTTTCCATAGTACTTTTGGGTTTAATTTTATTTTATTTTTTCCTCATAGCTAAGAGTCCTTGGGAAAACTCTTATACAGCGGATTCACGGCTAGCTTGAGACGCTAAGGGGCGTGTCCTGTCTGCGCTCTCCACCAACCAAGCACTCTATCTTTTTTTACCGTGTCAGGACTCATTTTTCGATGGCTCAAGCCAGCCGTGACTCTACAAGGTATAAGCAACCGAAAATTCCATTGAGAACTCTATGAAAAATTGAAAAATCAGCCTTGATTCAAAATTCGCTTTTTATTGCAGTGTTTTTTGAGGAAAATAGGCTTGAAAGTTGACGTTTCAAAATGGGATTTAAAAACCAAAATTAACAAGCTCAGGCTGAAATTAAAAACAAGTTTTTTGAAATTGGAACTAACATTTTGGCCATCTTTACATGGTTTCAAGGCCATATACGACAAAAAAATCGTATCATTGAGAATTTTAACCTTCCATTATTTTTATTCTGCAAAAATCCTGGAACTTTTCGGAAATGAACATTTAGAATTTCCCTCTTGATGTTTTTCCTCATCGCTAACTTACTTTTTTTTAAAAGTCTAAACGTCCTGAAAGCCCTCTAAGAGCTTCTCCAGCTTCAAAAAAAGAATATTTTTACTTGAATATTTTTTTGCCAAAAAAACCAACTGCATTTGAGCCATATTATCGGTGACCGTCTTCATCATGGTTTTGAGATTGTTCTCCATCTCCTTCTTTGTCGTGTTTTGCCGATTTTTCGCGTCTCTTTGATAGTTCTCTATCGTATTCCTGAAAAAGAAATCGAAGTATCGAAATGGAAGATTTGATACTTTAAAACGTTGAACTTTTGATGCATTTGGGATCGAATTTCCTCCAATTGGGGGTCCTTTTTCGGTTTGGCCGGAGACTCCTGAATTCAAAATTCACTAGGGAACAAACCCCCCTTTGAACTTTTTTTGTCTTTCCTTACCCCCCCCTTTTTTTGAACTTTTCACGTTATCACCCCCCTTTTTTTGAGCTTCTGATGAAACAGGGAGTTAAAAAAATTTCCCTAGTCAGTAAAAAAATGTACTATAACATTTTTTTGATAGCCCTCAAAACATGAAACATCTGAAACTGCAATTTTTACAAAACTCTTTCTATCAACATTAATAAAAAAATAGACAAAATTACATCTTCAACCAAAGATCCCTGTCGAACTCGTTGAGACCTGAAAATCAAATGGAACTTTTTTTCGGATTTCAAAAAAACCTGCTCGTTATCATTATTGTATCTGATTGGGATAATTTTTCTTCTTTGGCTGGTCGGCTGCCTGAAAATATTCATTTCGTTTTAAAAATTCCACAAATATTCGAATTTATGATATTCGAATTTATGAAACCAATTTTCACCTCTAGCGGAGGCGGAACCTTTTTGAGATTCTACAAAAAAAGTCGTAATAAAAAAACGCCTAATAATTCAATTTAATAAAGAAAAACACTTAATTTTTTTGAGTTGAATTCTTGAAAAATTGAGTCGAGGATCCTTGTCGACGTTGGCATTGGAGTGAAATTCGGAAAAAGTCTGTTCCTAGAGAAAATAAAAGCTCAAAAAAAAAAGAATTTTAAAAAAATCTGTCTCACTTTTTCGATAGACTCCTGTCGATTTTTCATCACGAGGTTGTTGTCTTCGGAATCCGCGCCACAGCCTTGATTCATTGAGGGATTAGCCTTAAATTTAATAATTTTTATTCAGAAAAACTGAAATATTCACGTTCTTAGAAAGCCCATCGAAAATCCTTGCAGAAGTAGGCATTGGGGTGTAATTGGCGGAAATCTTTTCCTAAAAGTCGGAGCTTGAAACCGTTTTCGACAAAACTAACATGTTGGGAAGAATCGTTTTTCGAATTTATGGCCTTTTTTGTGACTTTATGATTTTCCCGTGCGATTTTCGGCGCCGGGGGTGACGATTCTTCGTCGATTTTCCTCTTTCTTTCCGTTTCTTTCGACTTCGACCGAGGTCTTCCATTCATTCCGAGCCAATAAAATCGCCAAATTTTGCCGTCTTTAATCTGGACACCCGTTGTGAGCCTGGAAATGTGCCAAGTTTTTTTTAAATTGGAAGCAGACAACTCGGTTCTCGCTAACGTGAACATTTCTATAGTCTGCTCAGATTTCAAATGTCAAGTCCTCGCTTAAGCTCCGCCCCTTATCACCCGATAAACCAATCAGAGAGCGAGCCATCCACAGAGCGTTTTCGAATGACGTCATTCTTTTTTTAAATTCAAATTATGAACGGTCTATACCGCTTTGGCGGCGTCAGCACCCTGAAGTGATCCCTAGAAAATCTCCGAAACCTGCCCGATCCGCGTCACAGAGGCGCCAGGACTCGCGGACCTTGCTAAGGCTAATTGGACGTGCCGGGGCGTTTCTAGTGACCATTTTAGAAGCGTCAACACCCTTAAGTGAACCCTAGAATCGCCCCGAAACAGCGTTACCGATGTGAGTAGGATTTTTCCAAGAACCGGCCCATCAGGCTGCCTATCCCCCGCTTCACGGTCATTTTTCTTAACCCGACCCGGTCCTCAGGAGGCCAAGGAGTTCAAGTCGAATATCCAGCTTTTTTTACGATAAAAAAATCATACTTTTTGCTCATACTTATAACACAACAGAATATATGTAAAAAAATAACTCTTCCGTGAAAACTTTTTTTTTCGAGGCCTGGCCCGAATCCGCGCAAGCTTTTCCTTAAAAATGAGGTCCATAGCTTTTGGCGCACAAGCCTGATGTTTCTAATAAAAATTAGCCTTAGAGCGCGCTTTCACTTACGCAACGGAACTAAGATATTTTGAGATGAGTCAGAAAATTTGAAGAGGTTTTTTAAGCGTCTTTTCGAACAACAAGAATGGAAAAAACCTAATAAATTGCAACGAAAGTCGTTGGCAAAAATAATATTGGCAGAGAAGGATTTTCTGTCGCAGTGGATACGGCGCCTTGAACGTTTCCAACTCTTTTAGAATCGATTCTAAAATTTATTTTTTTATATTATAAAATATTATATCATTATTTCACCCATCGGCGTAGTTTCACAAACAGAAGTGGTAACATTTGCTCCTTCCAGGGGTTTCAATAGTGAGAACTGTGAATTTCAAGGATTATTAATTTCTCTTGAACTCAAAACTAACCCAAGACTTGACGACGAGACCCTGTTCGGGATTAGGACCCGTTAAAAAATCCGCCATTTGTTGCAAAATCGGCAAAATATCATTGATTATCGGTGTTCCGTTAAAAACTGATTCGAGGATTGCGCTGGAAAAAAAATTGAATTTTTTTCAAGATTTTTTTTGCTTAATTTTTAAAAAAATACAGTTTCGTCAGAAGAAATTTGATCACAACTTTTTTTAAAAATCTTTCTGAAATCTATTAGAGTTGGGATGACTGTTACTTGTAACACTCTGAGGGAATTTAAATTGGCAAAAAAACGCAACTTTTATGCCTTTTCAAGGGAAAAAGGCGTGTCTGCGCTCTCCACCAACCAGACACTGTATCTTTTCTTGTCGTGTCAAGACCCTTTTTTCGATGGTTCTAGCCTGCCGTGAACCCGCTATAGAGAGTTTATGCGGATTTAGCTTCATACAAGAAACTTATGAGCAAAAAACTTTTATCTTTTCTGACGGCACTGTAGATAAGTTCGGATAGGTCTTGAGGCGAAAAGCCGTTTTTACGTCTTAGAAAATATTTCCTAAAACAAAAAAGGAAAAAATATAGTCTATGTGCCACGGCTTGAAATTTCACGGAACGACATTCCGCTGTGCGTTTTTGCGAATCTTGGCCGCGCTTTTAATTTTCTTTTATTAAGGTACTCTACTTTCATGTGCTCCCACAGCAATAACAATCAACTGAAAAGGGTGACCTAATTTCGAAAGACGCTTCGCGAACGCACGCAGCGGAACAGCGGAATGTCGTTCCGTGAAATTTTCAAGTCGTGGCTCACAGACTGTATCAAACTTTAGCCTCGTCTTGACTATGAAGCTCATGCGAGATCGCAAAGATTGAAGCGCCTTGAACACTTTGAAATGGACGCCGATATTCGCGACGACTTCCTCATAAATGTGACTCGGAAAAACGGCCCGAACCATTTCGTCGGGCGATTTGAAGTCCTCAATCTAAAAAAACCACAAAAATAGATGAAACAAGTCGGAAATCCCCACAAGGTGCCAAATATTCGGATTTTCGTCTTTGGGCAGAACCATCCTGTACGTGATTTTGTCGCGTTTCAGGAAAGCCTCAAAATTGCGATCATTTTTTTTCAGAGCGAAAAAAAAAACCTCGATGTTTCCTAAAATAGGCTCCTCGATTTTGATATTTCCATCATAAGTTATTTTCGGATGTCCATCGTTAAAAAATCGAACATTCAAAGCAATTCTGAACAATTTCGAAATTTATATTGAATTTTTTTCAAGGCTTCACCTCAACAACTGGAGGACGACTCGCTGGGTGAACATGAAAAGAGCCTCGAGGATCTCTTTTTCGAAAATAATCGGTTCTTTTCTCAAAATCCCATGGTGAGTCATCAAGTCTTCAGGATCGAAATAGACTGAAAAATACGAAAATTGGTTGAAATTTGATTTTTTGAATGTTTTGAACTTCTAAAAATGAAACTGACAGTTCCCAACGGATCGCATGAAATCCTCAACTTTTTGGTCTTTTGTCAAGTCCGAAGGCAGTTTTCCCTGAAAATGATGAACCTTTTTTGAATTTAAATATATTTTTGTACCCATTTGCAGAGAATCGTCGCCTCTCCTTCAGAATTTCCCAGGAAATTCATGACCTCGATTCTGAAATTCTCCAAGTCTTCCAAGGCCAACGTCTCCTCCATCTTCAGAAGACGTTCTGCGGAGGATCTTCAAAGGTTTTTTCATAATATTATCATGAAACAGGACTTTTCCCACTTCAAATGATGGGCCATGTAAAACTGCATCTTTTCCTTCAATTTCCACAAATTTCTCCCAAAATAATCGTTGAGCTTTTCGTTTTGGATCACGAAATTTCCCAGAGAATCGTCGAAAACCGCATAAATCATGTCTTTCGGCTCTTGGAAGTCTTTAATCTGAAAAATTTCACACCAAGATCATTTTCCTAGATTATTCAAACTTACAAGGTGCCAAATATTCTCAATTCCGTTGTCGCGAGCCAAAAGACCATAGGAATGCTGGTCAGAAGGCAGAAAAGGAGACGATTTCTTCACCGGACCAAATTCGACTTCCGTTTCCTAAATATTCATGAAAAAAATGAATATAAATTACAATTACCTTTTGAACATTAGACCCTTCTTGCTCGCTCTGTACTTGCTGCAATTTAAATTTCGATTTTTCATGAAAGTAGGCTTCTGCAACCTCATTTGCAACAGTTTCAATTTTAGGATCAGCCTCGTCTTCTTCTAGAAGTTTGGCATCCTAAAAAAGATTAAAATTTGATTCTAACCGTACCTTTTAGTTCTTTTACCTGCTCTTTATGAACTTTTTCGGTATCGACCTCCATTTCCGAGACTTGAAAAATTAACAGGCTATAAATTTTGATGATGAGATTTTTCGCGTAATCGTTTTATCCAATGCTGTTTTAAATATTGTTGGTCTAGTTGAAAAAAAGCCAAAATATGATTTTTTTCAAAGCTAATTTTTGAAAGAATCTTCTGTAAGAAAGTTACATCGAAACCAAAATTAGAGAAATCTTAAAAAAAAAAGAAAAAAAAACGAAAGCAACTTTTTTTCTCATTAAAATTTCAAAGTAGGAAAAAGGGCGCGAGAAAGATTTGTTTTCGGGCTAATTCAAAAATCGTTTCTGGTGTGTTTAAAGACCGAAAACACTATATTAAAAAATGGCTCATCGTCTCCGATTAATAAATAAACCTTTAAGAATCCTTTAAAAACTCAGAAAAAAAAATTTTTTGAACAGAATTGATTTCAAAATAAGTCTATAATGAGAGCTATTAGTCAAATACACAAAGAGAAATCAGGCAAACTAAGAAAGCGTAGATTCACATATGGAGCTTGACAAAGAACCAAGAAAGCGTAAAAGATCGCGAGCGGGTCGCAGTTATAAACAAAAGATTGTATGTACGGATGTCGCAGGACAGTGTCGCACGCGAAAAAAGTTTGGCGTGCGATTGGAACAAGAAAGAAGAGCCGACGCCGTTTCTTTTTGAAAGGATGACGTTCCTGTGTAACGGGCATGTCGTTCGTTGACAGAGGCTTCGGAAAATTTGAATCAAATTCCTTCAGGGGATTTTTTTGATACAAAAATGAAGTCTACTGTGAAAATTTTTGAATGACTTATTCAGCCTAACTTGTCGCATTTTCACTAAATTATCCAGTAATTAATTTTGGCATTTAGTTTGAAAAAGAAAACAATTTCGATAGCGCGATCAACAAAAAGCTGTTTCAAAACGTAGGAGTTTGCTCATTGAAAAGTTGCTCAGAAACAGTACTTGTTTTTTGATTCGGGAAAATTTCATTGCGTTTTAGAACAATGTTAATTTTTTCGAAACGGAACGAACGGAAAAAAAAGCGCGTGGAGTAAGTTTTTGTCGTGACGCGGTGTAAAGGAACTAACTTGACTACCGTGTAATAAAAACAATTTTTTTCTTTTATTTCTTCGGTCTTAGGATATCCTCTTGCTATACTCTTCTTTCAATTCATATTGAAAACACGAATCATCCATGTTGCTTCATTTTTCGTGAACAACTCCCCCAAACAAGAAACGGCAATATTTCATTCAATTTTTGATTAAGAAACATCAATTATACAGAAATTACAGGCAATTAAGATCTCTAAGATACTTACATTGAATAAATGAACAGGATGAAGGATATGATACAAGCGGAAGCTTCAAAAAATCTCAACAAAATTAAAATATGGTTTAAAAACAATTAAAGAAAAGAAATATAGAAAATTTCTATCATGAACTTGTTTCAAAAACTGTCACGGTCCACTTTTCCATTGAGCGAAATAAAGTCCTGAAAGGTATTCAGATTTTTTTTAGATTGACTGTATGCGCCTTTAAACATTATATTTCTTATAAAAACTTTTTTTGCGAAAAAAAAAATCTAAAATTTTTTCTTTAAGTTCTTCTGAATGACTTTTTATCTGCCGGGGCAGAATTCTTAAAATCAAAAAATTTTTTTTTCGAAAAACCATTTTTGACGCGAAAAGACTACATTGTTTCCTTAAGATATTTTGAATCAATCCTTTTTTCGCTAAAGCTCCCGTCAATCTCACCTTATTCGGTTTGATGTCAGGTATCTCCTCGTTGCGCTTCAGTTGTACCTGAAAAACCGCGCATTTTTGGACCCGATAATCTCTGGAAGACCTGTAGTTGCGCATCTTCGAGCTTCCTCTGCATTTCGCTCATTTCCTGTCGGCCTGCCTGGCACAGTTGTTGGGAGGCGGCGAGTTGAAACGACAGTTCGCAGATGGTCGCATCCTTGGCCTTGAGCTGAGCTTTGGCCTGCTCGAGCTCGGCGAAATGTCGTTCGCTGCGCGCCGCCAGTGCCTCACACCGTCGTTGATGGACTTCCAACTCGGCGGTCAACGTCTTTTGGAGGCTTTGCTCCGTTTCTTTCCTGGGTGATCAGTGATTATCGGCTCAACAACACCTTTTGATGAAATTCAAATAAACTCCTTATTCCAAAATGAAGAAAAAAAAACTTCTCGTAGTAGGTTTTTTTTCAAGGTATGAAGCTTAAAACCCTCTTGCATATTTTTTTGACTTTTTAGGGTCACAAATCAAAAGGAAGATTAACTCCAAGACCTTTTTCTGCAGTCAGAAGGGCCCTTAAGTTGACTTTAACAGTTGAATTTTCATCGAAAGTTTATTCAGGGGCGATAAAAAGCTTCCGTCTTTCGACTAGCCTCTCAAACTATTGATATTTGATCTATAACGATAATTTCAGTGCTCTTAGTTCATTTTTAGATATTCCTGGGAATGAAAGAACGGCTATACGAGAGTCGGAGTCAACTCGCCTTTTTTCTTTAAAAAATAATTTTGACCCGCGATTTTTACGTAAAGCTATTTTTTTTTCGACTACGCCTGCCTGGTGCTTATAATAGAGCTATAACCTACTCCGTGGCAGCTTGTTGATAAAAAGCCCATGCTCAGAAAAAAGGCCGATCAAATTAAAGGGAACTTCCCCGGAAGATTTCTGTACCTAGGAGGAGAAAAAATTGTGGCACTTTGTCACGGAATGAGTTATAATCCTATACAAGATTGAAAGCAACCAAAAATTTGTTTTTCCCTAAATCTTTTTCCTTTTCACTAACAATGCCTGGCTCATCCTGTCGACGGCCATATTCAAGATTTGCCCTTGGCTTTTCTCAATTTCCTTCAGGACATTATCCACTCGTTCCAATTGCTCCCGATTGTTTTGCCCAGCATCGTTGCTGTTGAAAAAATAATTTTAAAAAAAAGTTCAAAAAAAAAACCTAGAGCTCTTAATTTCATTGTCATCTTTGCGATGCAACGAATCATCTTTTGATGGAGATTTCTGGAAAAAATTGTGTTTTTTCTCAAAATTTCACTTTGATAACTACTTCAGAAGTTTCTCTCTTTGGTGCGATTTCCACGGAAGGATTGAGAACCTGAAAAAATGTCTTATTTTCAAAGTTTGGACATTAAAAACCTTTTGAACATTCGTTTCTATGGGAGTCTCCTTTTGAGTGGCACTTGGAGGATTCTGAAAATTTTGTCATTTTCGTTGTCTTTCTTCGAATTTTCTTTTTCGAAGTTTTCTTATTCGAACACAATTTTTCACAGTTTCCATCAATAAAAATACTCAGCATTTTTGAAATTTGTCAGATTTTTTTATTTTTGAAAAAGATAATCCTGAAATCTTTACCGGCTGATTTAATGACTGTCTTTTTCTTAGGAACCGCAGAGCCACGCCCACTTCAGTGGTCGAAAAACGTCGTCATTTTGACTGTTTTTCACATTTTAAACAGTTCTCTTGCATTGGGAAAAAAATTGGGGGAAACATACAATTGACAAAAATGGTTCCCCGATTTCGTCACTCTTTTGCTTATAACGTTTTTCATTTTTCATACTTTTCTTTTATGTTTTCGCAGTTAGCTTTCGATTGGCATCTTCTTTCTTTTAATATAGATTTCAATTGTATATCACTGACTTTGCAAATTGGCCTACGGTCCCTTTTTTCTCATTTTGTCCATTACCTTCTGATTCTGAGCCTGCCGTTTGCAGCTTTCAAGGGCCATGGAAAAACATCGGACTTTCGAAGGCCCGGAACCCGGATCATCGGCCACTCTTTTTCCTTTCTTCACGCCGGATTCCTTGACTTTCGGCGCCGGTTCATTGTATCCCCAGTACTGTACCGCCTTTACTTTCGAGGATTTGCATAGGCGAATGCTCAAAGTGAGCCTGAACAATGTGATTTTCACGATCTTCCTGATTTTTTTTCGAGGTACCTCAAAAGCTGCAGTGTAATCCTTCGGGCGAAATAATAGAGGGACATGAGGATTTCCTCGCGCAGTTTTTCTGGCGCTTTCAGCGATTCAAAAGCGCTAAGGATACTGTCTGAAAATGTTTAAATTTCTAAGTTTGAGTCATAAGCAGAGCTGCCGACGGGCGTCCCGACCCGCATGGATAAAAACGAGTAAGATAAAAAAATGGAAAAAATGGCTCTTTTGGAAATATGACCGGCCCGCCCGGGGTTGCCCCGTTTTCTCACCAGCTCTGGTGATAAGAATTGGCTCAGAACTCATTTGATTTTCGTTTAAGACATTTTTTTTTTTTCTGAAGGCAGGTTTTTTTTGTGGAAAGTTTGGATTTTGTAGGACTTGTTAAAATTTTGAATCGATAATTGCAGGGCGTTCCCAATGGGGAGACGTCAAAAAAATTCGCCGCGAAATTTGAAATCTCAAGTACGCAGCCAAATCGGGAGTTCATGCCGTTGGATACTCAGCTTAATTTGCAACGATCGGTAGCTGTGACGTCACAGTCATTTTATCCGGAGCGCACACTTACTTTTTTTTTGTAAATTCAGAAACTTTGACGCCTCGCTCGCCTTCCCTCACCCCATTAGGAATGCCGTAACTTGATACTTGGACAAAATTGAATTTTTCAAAAACTAAGGCAAACACTTTTCTCAAGCCACAGTTCTAACAAAAAACCCTGCACCTTCAAAAAAAAAAATGAAAATGAATTACGTCGGGGCAACGGAGAAACGCGTAGATTGACGATGATTTCATTGTAATTTACCAAGGATGCGAACTGAAAAACTTTTACTTTTTCTCAAAATAAAGGTTTCGAACCCAAAAAGGCATCAGATAGACACTTTCCGGATCGCCACAGACCAAAGAATTGCCGATTTCTTCGTAGAAAAGGTGAAGATTTCGGATATCTCGAGCGTTTCGCCCGAAAATCGACAATAGCATTACCCTAAACCATTAGCTTTTAGCTTTTAGACAAAAAGACGGGTAGATTTATTTCCTCACGTTAATCGTTGTTCTTGCAATTCAACCATCCGATTTTTCAAAGTCCAAAGAGCTTGGAACAATTTAAAATGAAGACTGATATCGGCAAATATTTGATCATAAACTTTGCGATGGAAAGCGACTCGAAGCATTTCGTCCGGCGATTTGAAGTCGTGAATCTTGAAATCAGAGAAAGTTTTGAAAATTTGTAAATTCCTACGAAGTGCCAAATGTTCGGCGTGTCATCTTCACGCAAGATTAGTCTATGTGTGAATTTTTCATGGTCCAAAAACGCCTGAAATTCGCATTTTATTCGATTCAAGTCGAATAAAAACCTCGAAACCGCCCAAAATTGGCTGTTCGACTTCGATATTCCCATCATAAGTTATTGTAGGCGTCCCATCGGCGGCAAACTGAATATTCAGAGCGATTCTGAACAGTTTGAGGAATTATGTTGATTTTTTCAGGGCTCCACCTCAACAACTGGAGGATGACTCGCTGGGTGAACATGAAAAGAGCCTCGAGGATCTCTTTTTCGAAAATGATCGGTTCTTTTCTCAAAATGCCGTGGTGAGTCATCAAATCCTCAGTATCGAAAAACACTAAAAATATGAAAATTGGTTAAAATTAAAATCTTCAAAAAGCTAGTAAGATTCTATAAATAATTCAAATCTACTGACGATCCTTATCGGATCGCATGAAATCCTCGATCTTTTGGTCTTTTTCCAAGTAAACCGGCAGTTTACCCTGAAAATATGAAAACTTTTCGAAATCAAATAAATTCACAGTACCCATTTGCAGAGGATCGTCGCCTCTCCTTCAGAATTTCCGAGGAAATTCATGACCTCGATTCTGAAATTCTCCAAGTCTTCCAAGGCCAACGTCTCCTCCATCTTCAGAAGACGTTCGGCGGAGGATCTTCAAAGGTTTTTTCATAGATTTATCATAAAACAGGACTTTTCCCACTTCAAATGATGGGCCATGTAAAATTGCATCTTTTCCTTCAGATTCCACAAATTTCTTCCGAAATAATCGTTGAGCTTTTCGTTTTGGATCACGAGATTTCCCAGGGAATCGTCGAAAACCGCATAAATCATGTCTTTCGGCTCTTGGAAGTCTATGATCTGAAAAATATTCTCTTTTTTGAAGATTTTTTCAAACTTACAAGATGCCAAATATTCTCAACATTGTTGTTGCGAGCCAAAAGACCATAGGAATGCTGATCAAAGGGAAGAAAGTGAATATCTTTTGTATCGTTGCCAAGAGTCAGGTTTACTGTTTGTAACTCCTGGATTTTAAGCTGAATTAATATTTTCAAAAATTTGAAAGATGAAAATTTCCTTACATCAGCATCAGCCATCTCCTTTTTGAAATTGACCTGAAAAAAACCGAACTTTTTTTGATTTTTATGAAAGTACTGTCAAAAAGATTTTGAAGGAGCATGTGACGTGATAACACTGAGAAACATTTCTGAGTATGAACCTCTTTTCGAGAAAATTCCATGCTCCTTTAATCTAAAAAATGTTAAAAAACAGTCAAGATGCCTACCTTTTCATCAAACGGCGCTTCTTCCTCGACAACATTATTATTATTATGTTCAACCAAAACGATCTGAAGTGAAATTTAAAAAAATTTTCGTTAATTCCGTTCACTTGGCATTTTTCCTCTGCGATCAGAAGGTCAGCAGGACCGTTAAAGGTCGCTTTGTAACCTTTTAATATACTTTTTCTCGACGATTCTCTCTCGCTCACTTTTTCAAACGACAGGACAAGTCTGAAAAATCAATATTAGAAAAAAAAAATTCATTTTCTCAAGCCACCTTAAAAGCTGTAGAACAAGGCGACAGGAGAACAAGTATAAGTATTGGATCAGTTTGTCGGCGAAATTGTTGTCAAATTTGTTGAGAAAATTGAACTGAGGCGCATTTTTTGGAACTATAAAAAGTTCGTCAACGCTGTCCGACACCTCAACTTGTCGCAATGGCGACGACAGCTGAAAAATATTGTAATTTCGATTTGCTAGTACGAAAAAATGAGTGAATAACCCAAATAAACGGAATGCAAATCGTCAAATTCCCATCTAGAATCAATTTTCGGGCCAAAAACTTCAAAAAATCGTCCAAGTTCGTAACCTCTTCCTGGCCAGCCAATTTTCCCAGCGCTTCTCTGAAAAATTTCAAAACTAAAATTAACTGATCTAATAGTTTCTTCGAAAATCCTTGCTGTAAAGTATTAAAAAATCCAAAATAAAAATGCAACGTCTCTTTGCCTCAAAACTTGGAAAATGAACACAGCAAGGAATTTTGAAGAGACTATACAAGTTCCAAACCTCAAGTGGAACTCTAAAAACTTCTTCATGTTCTGGCGAAGTTTCCACATTGTGAAAGTCAACATAGAACTAAGTTCTTCAGGAAAAGTTTGCCGGAAGCTGGCCGGAAACACTTCGGCAACCATTTCAGATGGGTCATTGAAGTTCCCAATCTTCAAAAATCACGTTTTTCAATCGAATATACATTTTTTAAGTGAAACCATCAACCAAATATTCGGCAACTCGTCATTTTTCAACAAACGGCCGTATGTATGAGTAAATTTGGCGATTTCGTCCATCAGGCTTTGTCAATACTGAAAAGTTTGACATGAAATTAGAGATATGTGTGATCTCTTCAAACTTTCTAGTTGTCCAAAGAAAAGGATAATAATGTAATTAAGGGGACAATTTCATTCAGAAATTTTTTAGACTTGGCTTCCAGAATAGGCCTAATACTCAAGTGTAACATTCAAGAAGTTTTTTTCAGAACTGAAACTTAAAATCAGATTTGATCTCAACAAAGAACCGAGAAAAACATCCATTATCATTAAAAATAGAAGTGGAAATTTAAAAAAAAAATCATTTTGTCGAAAAATCTCAAAAAATGCGCGTCGTCAGAGTTTCTTGTGTAAATTTTGTGTACGTGGATGCACTTTTCCGGCTACAATACGAGGAAAAATTTTGATGGTACGACAAAATCTCAAGTCCGCAAATCTCGAGGACCGTAATCTTGTGTACGCAGATCTAAAGTCCCATAATATTGGAAACCAAAATCTTGGAGACCAAAATCTTGGAAACCACAATCTTGTAAAGCAGAAATCTTCCTTTTTAGTCTTCTTTATTGCACTTTATATACTTATATTCTCTTGTTTGGATCACCGAATACAATTTCTGATAAAAATCTATTCGCAAAAGCGTTGATTTTTACTTTCCAAGATTGTGGTTTCCAAGATTTTTGGTCTCCAAGATTATGGGACTTTAGATCTGTGTACACAAGATTACGGTCCTCGAGATTTGCGGACTTGAGATTTTGTCGTACCATCAAAATTTTTTATCGGATTTTTTAAAAATTTATTTTTAATTTACTGATTTATAGTTTTTGGTGATGAATTGATTGGCATTCGGCTTTCAGGGCACTCATGGCAGTTTTGAAAAAAGCAAACCTTCTTCGCTCGTGACTGGAGTCGATCATGGGATCAATAAAAGGTGAGAAATTTTCTTTTCTCGTCCTTATCAAAGAATTTTGAACGATCGAAGCGAACGGTTTTAATATTTTGAACTAAAATATCTAGTCAGAGAGCTTCAGCTGATTTTAATTGGTGAAAAAGTTGGCTACCTTCATTCTGACCTCCTTTCTTTATGCGTATCAAACAATTTTAAGCTTCTTTTCGTTTGTTAAAAAAACCGTAAAACAATCATTCATTGATTTTCCAATTAAAAAAAACGTACAAGATTACTAAATCTCGAAATCGAGATAATTAAATGTGAGGAATGGATGCATAAGATGAGGGGTAATAATACACGAAAGATATTTAAAACAAGCTTTAAAAGGTAACAAATTGCGAACAAGATGAGAAAAAAAATGTGAAAAAGTTAATGAAAATAGAAAAAAAAACTGTTATCCGTTTCAAAAAGCGTTTCCATTGAGCGGGATCAAGTTCTGAAACTTTCTGAATTATGATTCCATAGACTGCTTGAAAAGCTCACCCGATCGGGCTTAACGTCGGCAACTTCCTCTTGATGCTGAGTTTCAGGATTGCCCTCTTGGCGCTTGGCCTTGAAAAAAACCCATGATTTTCATGTTTTTCCCCCTAGCAACTCCAACCTTCTTCTCCTTCTTCTTCTTCGACTTCTCGAAATCCTTCTTAGCTTCCTTGAGCTCTTCGACAGCTTCTTGAAGAGTTCTTTGGAAGGTTAGCAGATCGGTCGTCATTTGGTGGATGATCTCGTCCCTTTCTTTGACTTGAGCCCTCGCCTCGTCCATTTCGGCCAGATATTTGTCCTTGCATCCTACCATCACCTCACAACGCCCCTGATGGACCGCCATCTCGTCGCTCAGCGTTTTGTGAAGACTTTTATCCAAGGTTTCCCTGGTCAAAGTAGTTATCGATTAGTTGTGGTGGAAGGGTTTTTTGTGGAATTTTTGATAAATTTGTGACTAATTTCAGCTTGTGGGGCATTTCTGTGCTCACTGGTCATTGGGAATTGGGAAATCGGCCAGAACAATTTTTTGTACCATATGAGGAACCTAAAAGTCTACTTTACGAGAAAAAAGGGCCTAATGCCCCAAAATAGCGATTTTCAATGGATTCTGAGGGATTTTCTTTGACTTTTCAAAAACGAGAAACTTGTTCAGGTCGAAACTCTCAGAATCGTCAAGGAGCGTTCTGGCCAATTTTCGGGAAAATCCCAACCGCAAAGTAAAGCGACCTCCCTTGTCAGTCAGCTTCGTAAATTTGCCGAAAATATTTTCTGAGGTGTTCAAAGACCTCGCACGAACTAAAATGGAAATAGGAACGGCTCTTCCTCTCGAGACCTTTGATCAAGTCTGCATGCTCCTTTGAACACTCAAGCAAAGATTTTTGAGCAGAATTTATTTGATTAAGTATCTCAATTATTTTTTTATCTTTTTGAGAATCATATAGTATTATGAATTTTTTTCAATCTCTTGTAGAAAGTCAGATAAAAAGGAAAAAAATACAAGTTTTTTTGCGTCAGAAAAAAATCAAAAACCCGTGATTTCTTCTAATTTTCGTACGCCAAAAAAATGAAGCTTCATTTTTTTCACATCTAGTTCAATTCATGATATTTAACAGCTCTTTTTTTTCACTGTAAGCGGAATTTTGGATGAAATGACAGTTTATGTATATGGTTTTTTTTTGAGTTTCTTGTACACTATGGCAAATTTGTACTCTGAAAATGGAATTTTCGCTGAAATGATAATGTCTTCGCTAACATTTTTGGAAGCAGTAAGTTGAGGATTCTCAACATCTGCTCTCGTTCCCTCCTGTCTGTCTCATTTCTTCTCTGCTCCATCATCTTGATGTAGTTCCTATGATCAAAATTGATTCATTACACCGAAAAAAAGTTATTTTAAACCTCAACTCGATGATATCAGCCCGAGTGCAGGGTTGCAGCGACGGATCGATTACAGGAGATCTCTGAAGAAAAATCAATTTTTGAAGGTTTCCTAATCAAAAGCCTTTCCACCTCCGGTTCCAATGATTTTCGGCGTTCCTAAAAATAATTTTAGACTATAATCCAAAAAAAAAAGATTGACCTCTTCAGAAGCATCATTTTTTTGAACGAGAGTCTAGCAGACAGATTGGAATTCTGAAATATGATTTTTTCGAGAATAAAATTTTTCTTCAGTTTTCACTTTTTTTCATAACGGCTTCTTCGATTTGAGAGCGCTTCTGGAAAAAAATTTTTTTAAAGGGTATTCTTTATTGGAAAGAAAAACCTCTTGGACATCCGTTTCCATAGGAGTCGCGTTTGGAAGATTCTAAAAAATTGATTTCAAAAATTATCCCAGATGAAGTTTTTTTCAATGTTTCCTTTGTTAATGAGAAGATCTAGGCGGGTCAAATTGATAGAGAGTTGATTTTTTTTTTGCTCATAGGTCTGTTTAGAAAGCCTTTCTGGGGTTTTTAAAAGGCTTAAAAGTATTCTGAAAACCAGAGTAACACTGAAAAAGGGTCTTCGCTTCAGGAGTAGTATGAAATTTGTGTATGTTTCTTAAAAAATCTTAAAAAAGGATTTTTAAACGAACTACCGCCGTTCGGACTCGGAAACTTACATTTTTAGGCCTCCTTAGGGCAATTCTGAAGTTCTAAGATACTTGCATCACTGTAAGCCTTGAGAAATTGGTTTTCTGACGTTCTTCCATCCAACTTCGTCAACAAAAATCAGGGCAAAACTCCGGAAAAGGTGAAATTTTCGTTGACATTTTTAGACCCCCCTTTAGACCTAGATGGCGTGGACCCCTGGGGCAGCCGGTTGAAAATAAAAAGTTCTTTTTGAGCTACCGTAAAAGCCAAAGATGATACTGTAGAAAATGGTGATATTGGGAAATGAACCTTTTCGAAATCTTTTACGAAATAAGTGCTTTAATAGGAATTTAAAGCTAAACGCGGTGCACCGCAACTTTTGTTAGAGTTATCAATTCGAAACCTTTTCATGAGCCTGGCGTTTGCAGCTTTCAAGGGCCTTCACAATGGAAAAGCATCGAAATTTCGATGGGCTCTGATCCGATTCATCGTCCACTCTTTTCCTTTTTCTCTCCTCGTCTTTCTTGACTTTCGGCGCCGGCTCAATACTTTCCACGTAGTGTACGGCGGTCACTTTTGGATTCAAGCATCTCGAGCGGCGGATACTCAGGGTGAATCTGAAATTTTGCAAGTGGACTTCGATTTCGAGACATGGATGGAATACGAAGAAAAAAAGGACCTCAAAAACTGCAAAGTGATCCTCTGGGCGAACCAATAGAGAGACGAAATGATTTTCTCGTGCAACTCTTCCGGTACCTTCAGCGACTCGAAAGCGCTGTGGATCTCCTCTGAAATGAGATAATGAAGTGAGGTTTTGTACGATTTTAAAGGCGCAGAGCTCAAAACACATATGGGAATCTGGAACGAATTTATAAATATTTTTTCATCTAAATTTTCTTTAGAGGCGCAGGGAACTGCTAAAAAATATTCTTGGGGACTTTTAGCCCCGCCCTGCGCCTTAAAGAATCCTCCCGGATATTTTTATCTCCGCCCTGCGCCTTTAAAAATCCTCCCGAGCTCTCAATAAATGAACTATTGAGCCATACTTCGGCGGGCGATCCTCAGAACGGTTTTATCGACGGGAATACCAATGAGATTTTTTTCGGACTTGAACTGGAAATTTTTAATTATTTATTTATCATCAATTTTTGCAACCGACCCAATACGGCATCATACAGACAGATTCTGGATCTCCACCAACGAGAAAATCGGCAATTTCTTTGTAAACTTTTGGTAGGAATTGTTCGTTGATATTCCTTTCGTTCCGGCCAAAAATCGTGAAAAGCAAGGTCCTGAACGGAAAAGAGTGGTGTTGTAGAAAAATGTTTGAAAAGGAGATTTACAGGATTTTTTTCGGGTTTTGAAGCCTGTGAATACCATACAGAAAAGTTATGAAAAACTGGAAAAAACGAGAAAAAAAAATCGAGAAAAGAAATTTTACATTTTGTCGCTTTTTTTTTCTATTCAGGGCTGATAACTTACCCATAAAAAAATACAGAAATGGAGTAAAATAAAAAAAGAGTTGTAGTTCCAAGACCTTTTTGAAGTTCTCGGTCCAAAAAAATACACGAAAAGACTTATATAGAGACAGTAAAAATCACAAAAAATGAGCAAAAAAATCGATCAATAATCTCACGTCAATCGGTTCCCTTGGAACTCATTCATCCGATTTTTCAAAGTCCAAAGAGCTTGGAACAATTTGAAATGGAGATTGATATCGGCCACGATCTCGTCATAAACGTTATGATGAAAAACGGCGCGGAGCATTTCGTCGGGCGATTTGAAGTCGCGAACCTTCAAATGACAAAAATCAATAAAATCGGTTAGAAAATCCCACAAGGTGCCAAATATTCGGATCATCATCTTCACGAAGAATCATTTTGTACTTAATGTCGTCGCGTTTCAAAAATAACTGAAAATTGCATTTTAATAGAATGGCAAATCGAAGAGAAACCTCGAAATCGCCCAAAATCGGCTGCTCGATCTCGACATTTCCGTTATAAATTATTGTAGGGGATCCATCGGCCGAAAATTGGATATTCAAAGCGGTTCTGAACAATTTAGAGATTTATTTGAATTTTTTCAGGACTCCACCTCAACAATTGGAGGATGACTCGCTGGGTGAACATGAAAAGAGCCTCGAGGATCTCTTTTTCGAAAATAATCGGTTCTTTTCTCAAAATTCCATGGTGAGTCATCAAATCCTTCATAGAGTACACTGGAAAATATAAAAAAATTGATTATTCTATAAATATCCAGAAGTTTGAAAATTCAAATAAGGCCTCCAATTTCCCAAGAAACTAACAGTTTTCATCAGATCGCATGAATTCTTCGATTTTTTTGTCCTTTTCTAAGTAAACCGGGAGTTTACCCTGAAAATATGAAAACTTTTCGAAATCAAATAAATTCACAGTACCCATTTGCAGAGGATCGTCGCCTCTCCTTCAGAATTTCCGAGGAAATTCATGACCTCGATTCTGAAATTCTCCAAGTCTTCCAAGGCCAACGTCTCCTCCATCTTCAGAAGACGTTCGGCGGAGGATCTTCAAAGGTTTTTTCATAGATTTTTTCATAAAACAGGACTTTTCCCACTTCAAATGATGGGCCATGTAAAATTGCATCTTTTCCTTCAATTTCCACAAATTTCTCCCAAAATAATCGTTGAGCCTTTCGTTTTGGATCACGAAATTTCCCAGAGAATCGTCGAAAACCGCATAAATCATGTCTTTCGGCTCTTGGAAGTCTTTGATCTGAAAAATTTCACACCAAGATCTATTTAATATGTTATTAAAACTTACAAGGTGCCAAATATTCTCAATTTCGTTGTCGCGAGCCAAAAGACCATAGGAATGCTGATCAGAAGGCAGAAAATGAAGATCTTCGGACTCATTGCGACGAGTCAAGTTCATTGTCCATGACTGTTGGGTTTTGCGCTGAAAGTAATTTTAAACAAGTCTTAGAAGAGATTTTAAAAAACCTTTTGAAAAATGGAAACCTCGCTCTCAACAATGTCAGCAGCTTCATTTTTGAGACTGACAGGCGCCTGAAAAATTTAAAGTTGAATTTTGCTTCTTTTTTATGAGGTGAGAATTTTTTCCTTAGCTTCTGAAAAACTTTAAAATCAAAAAAATGCGGAAATTTTTTAACAAATTTTCTCATGCGCTTTCAAATTTTCGAGCAAACCTTTTTGACGATAGGCGCTTTATTCGGGCTGCAAGTGTTATTATTGACGTTAATAACGACCTGAAATTTTTTAGAGCTCTCAGATTTTTGATTTTCCACTCACTCCACTGGCCAACAGCTCGACTGGACAGCTGTAAACGGCTTTGTACATCTTTAAAATGCTCCTTTTCGACGACTCTTCCTCGCTAACTTTTTCAAACGATAGAACAAGTCTGAAAAGGTGAAAATTATGAAAACAGTGATATTTTTTAAAAGTCCACCTTAAGAGCTGTAGAACAAGGCGACAGGAGAACAAGTATAGGTATTGGATGAGTCGATCGGCGAAATTTCTGTCGAACTTATGGAGAAAGCTGAATTCGGGCGCTTTGTTGGGGACAATGAAAAGTTCGTCAACGCTTTCCGACAGCTCAACGTCTCTTAGTGGAGCTGAGAGCTGAAAAAATAAATTTTTCATTCAAAATATGCTAGGGTTTTTGAAGGTCCATTTAAAATTTTTTGAAAAGGGGCCTCTTTAGCGTTTTTTCAGCAAAAATGCTGCGATTTTAAAAATTTCCAGCTTGAAAAGAGGACAAGAAAAGCAAGATACCCAATAGGAAGGAATGTAAATGGTCGAATTCCCATCGGCAATCAATTGCCGCGCGAAAAAGGCCAAAAAATTGTCCACATTCGTGACCTCTTCCTGACCAGCCAACATTCCCAGCGCTTCCCTAGATTTTATGACATTACTCATAATATTTTTCGAGTGTCAAACTTCAAATTGCTCTCCAAGAAAGTCATCATGCGCTCCCGCAGTTTCCACAGTGTAAATGTCAACGTACAATTGAGCTCTTCATTGAAAGAACTCCAAAAGTTGGCCGGAAACACTTCGGCAACCATTTGCAATGGTCTATCGAACTTTCAATCTTAAAAAAATATTTTTTTACTTTCGAAAAAAATATTTTTCATAGACTAACCATCAGCCAAATATTTGGCAAGTCATCGTTTCTCAACAAACGGCTGTAGGTATGAGTGTATTTGGCGTTTTCGCTCATTTTGCCTTGTTAATACTGAAAATTTTGAGATAAAGAAAGAAAGATTTTATCCTCAAAAATCCAATCACAGCATTTTTTGGACGATATCTTGCAGTTCAGGAGTTTGAAAAAATAAAGAAGAAGGATCAATCGATTTTTCTTCAGACTTTTGGAAGGGAGTTTTTCAAACTTCATCAAAATTTTCAAAATGGACTCAATTCGGAAGAGAAAGCAAAGAATCAAGAAACCACAAAGAAACGCGAGTGAATCGTAGTAACAAACAAAAGATTCGGATGTGAATGTCGCAGGACAGTGCCGCGCGTGACGGGAAGGCGTTTGGCGCTCGGTGTGAAACCCAAAAAAAACGAAGAGCTGCGCGCCATTCCTTTTTACGCGGACAGTGTACTTCTGCTAAAGGGCACGTTGAGGATGACATTTGTTTAAGTGCAAAATAGATGAGACGAAATATAAGTTTTTCAAAAAATGAAGAACATTATTTTTAGGAAGAGCAGAAATTCAAAATACTACAAAAAAAGTCTATAGACAGAAATCTCAACAGTTTCAAGAAAATAGATTTTCTCGCAATTATTTTAAGTTTCTGCGATCTCTATCATCGATCGGCACTGAGCCAATATTTCGTAATAACAAGGGAAAAAGCGATCTTATCAGGGACTGAAAAAAAAAAGAAGATCACATGAGTCATACATGATATGATTTACGGTAATAGTTGATGATAGAAAAATGGGTGGTATGAAAAGAACACCAGCGAAAAATCAAACGGCGACTTTTCCGATTTTTTCATATCGCTAGGGAATTTTCCGACGGCCACCTTTCCGACGAAATTTTTTCCGACTTTTTTCCCTTATATTTTTCGGTTTATATAACATCTATTTACATTTTTTTTTCCTATTTTTTTGTGTTTTAATCATGAACCAACTACCTACTTTATATAGGATGATTTAAAACGAAAATTTTATCGAGAAAAAAAGTCGGAAAAAAAGATTTGTCGGAAAGGTGGCCGTCGGAAAGTTCCTTAGCGATATGAAAAAATCGGAAAAGTCGCCGTTTTAAGTTTTCGCTGGTCTTTTTTTCATACCAATGAAAAATGTAACTATAAATAAACAAAAGAAGCGAAAATCACATATGAGCTAGACAAAAACCCAAGAAATCACAAAGGAACGCGAGCGGATCGGAACTGAGACAAAACATTTTAGGGCCGCTGGACAGTTTCAAACGCGAAAAGGAGTTTGGCGCCCGATGGAAAACAAAAAAGAGGAGCTAACGCGCCATTTCTTTTTGAAAAGATGACGCTCTTGTGTCATAGGGCAAGTCGTGGACGGAGGTGTCATTTGAATGAGAAAGATGGTAATGAAATTCAAAAAATAAGAACAGTGATCGTCAGATAAAACATTCCTTTTTCGATGTTATCCGACCTACGTCTCTACCATTTAGGGTTTTTGACTTACTTTTTAGAATAAAAAAAAAACTTGAACGCTAGATGAACTGTTCAAAGATCCTTTTTGATGGTTTTAAGCACAAAAGTCTAGACAGTCTTTATATAACAATGAAATGCTCTTCGCCTTTATTATTTCATGAAACCAGTCTTGGCTCCTTCAAGAACCGTATCACGGACTTCCAAACGGTTTATAAAACTTCGGAAAACTGAACTTACAAGTTTTAACCATGATATTTTAAACAAAAAAGCAAAAGAAAGCAATCCGGACAACTTTCCAGAATTGCGCGTTATAATAGTTTTTGGTGCCATTCATGTGTCTGTGAGTGTGCTTTTTTTCTAATACAGTAATGAAAAAAATTTTTCGAATTTTTTTCGAATTTTTTATAATAAATTTCAGTTTTTTTAGAATATGTTGATCCGATTTGTTTATATTCAGGGCGCTTTTGGAAGTGGACAACTACAAAATCCTGTGCTTGTGTCTTCATTCGATCATGGGATCGGGGAAAGGTGCGCAATTTTTTGACTTAATAATTTTTTTTTTTTTCTAATATTCTAGGCTTTCAAAACTATTCAAGATACTACGTTAGACAATCTTTGGATGGGCTCTGAAATTAAGAATAAATTAACGTAGATTAAAAAAATTTCTTCTACAAAAAAATCGCTTTTGTGATTTAAAAAAATTCTACCCTTCTTTTTTTGAATTTTTTCAGTGACTCAAGCACTTTCTCGAAGTTCCTTTAGTTTAACCTAATATATTAAATTGAAAGCACGGGGCTTCTTTCTTTCGTTTTTTTTTTGTTCACAGAGAACCCCTGAGTAGTGCCATCTAACTTTATTTACGCCCTACTTTCCTCTAGTTTCGCGTGAAAACTTTTTCTTCTTCTTTTTTTTCCAATTGAGATTGAGGAAACATTTCGATTCTCCAGAGGTTAGAGATTTAGTTCCGCTTTCTTGTCAACTCAACTTTTCGTGAGGAGATGAGGAAATTTGAAATGGATGGCAATTTTTGCTTGAAAGAAGAAAAAAGAAAAGAAACAAGGAACTTCAAGTTAGAGAATTTTGATTTTTTTATTTAATATTAGTCGTTTTCTCGAAATTTTTCGACGTCGTATGAGCACCTTAAAATGTTCTATTTTTTCTATTCTTTAACATGCATTTTAAAATTCATTGCAGGATTTTTTAGCGTTCCAAAGCTACTCATCTTCGTAAAATACACACTTTCGCGAATTTTTAAAACCATTACACAGTACAGCGCATTCCTAGCGCGCCCTGTTGGCTCATCTTTGCCGCCCGACCCTCGTCTGCAGTCATGTCCGAGTGGTTAAGGAGATTGACTCGAAATCAATTGGGCTTTGCCCGCGTAGGTTCGAATCCTGCTGACTGCGAATCGTTTTTGCCATTTTTCAGGAGACTATTTGATGATGACTAATACATTTTTTGGGAAATTCTAATCAAATTTAACCTGACACTGGCCAAAAAACTGGAATTTTATTTCATTTTGATGTTTATTCATGTCAGGAACACTTGTGTGCGACCGCCTACGTGTTTCTATTCTATTCTATCCAATTAATTGAAACGTCGGTTTTTATGTCTTTTTTTTTGGGTGGTCACGAGAATGGGATGTTTGTTACAAGCTTTTCGAAGAGAGATTGTATGAGTGGGTGTATAATCTGGGTAAAAAGTAAATTTTTTTTATTGGGTTTTTGATTTTTTTTACTTATTCATTGTTAAATCATGATTTTTTTGTAAAACCACTATTTTAAGGTTGTCAAAAAGCTTTTTCAGACATGTGATTCAATGAATTTTTTTCAATAGGACAGCTCAAAAAAGGCGATATTTTTGATATTCTCCTTTAATTTTTGAAGAAAGAGTAGTCATTCTTTCCCCTCTAGAATCCCCCTAGGTTCCAAGACTATTTTATAGGCCCATTATGATTTTAAATGTTTATAAGAAGAGTTTAGCCTCATTCCCTCATAATAAAAGCTCGTAGTAAAGCGATCTTATGGCCACTACTCTCAGCTGTCCCGATGCGCCACCCCCCGGTAAACAACTACCAGAGAACTATTACGGCTAATTATTCGTCTGGCTTAATGTCTCTGGCTCATTTCGGAGCTATTTTCCCTAGTTTTTCGAAAATTTTTTGCATTGACTTAAATTTTTCTGAAAAGACTTATTTTTTGGCTTTTCGAGGCTCAGAGTCTTATTTCAAGCTGTAGCTTTGGGATGGACTTTCTTGATGTTATCTTAATTTTTTTCATTCTTTCTAACTACTTTTTGCTTCTTAACTAGACAAAAGTCGCTAATATTTCAATTTTTCAAAGTTGTCCTTGGAGCAAACTTTCGCGTGATTTTCGGGCCACGTAGGGCTGCAATTTTCGATCTTGACCATCTTGAAATCACTCCAGGAGTTCTCATTGGAAGATAGCTGTTTTTCAACAAGTTTTCAGGCCATTTTTTTCGCTCCTCATTAATAATTTCGTATAAATGTATAAAAAAATTAGTGGAAAGACTGCCGTTCGGCTCTCTCGACTCGAAACTCATCGAATAATAATAATTTCTGGGAGCCTCTCTTCTCCTCACCTTTCAGTGTAATTCTGATATGCGGAACGCGTCGGCGAATGTCACTTTCCCGACGCTAATTTTTCGTCTCATTTTGGCACTTTTTCATGTTATCCATGGGCTCTCAAAGCTGAAAATTCTATGAAATATTGCATGTAGTCCCTTAAATTTGTCTCAATGTTCTTTCTGAAAGGTTTCTCCAGACCTATGAAAATCCGAAGAACTATATAATATTCGCTAAAGTCAGAGGTCTCACAGAGTCGGAGGCTATAAAAAGATTTTTTGCAGTCTGAAGACTTTTGACGATGATAGGAATCGACTTATAAGAGTCTTTTTCTTCGAGAAATCTATTTCTAGGTATTTTTTGTCCGGATCTTCATCTACATGGGAGCTTTTATAATTTTTCACTTGGAATAAAGACATTTTTCCGGCTTTTAATACCTATAGGTGCACTTGCAAAATACTGTTTTCGAAAACTTTAGATTCAAAAAATAGAATTAGTTGGATTTCCCAAGTTTTAAAGCCTCTAGTCTCCAGAAAGAAAAAGTCATCAGCCTCTTAAGTGTCCACTTGAGGATGGAATATATTACCAGATAGAAAAAATTTAAGTAAGTTGTGTAAAGCATGTGAAAGAGCTCGAAGTAGTCGCTTAAACGCTTTTTAGACCCTTAAGTGACTACTAGAAGCTGGATAACTGACCTTTATAAGTTCTGCTACTGGGAAAATTTTTAGTGGCCACAATAGGGTTTTGACTTTAGTTTCATCTCCAAGTAGTCCTTGGCGAGCCTCTATAGTGGCCACTTGAACCCATTTCTTTAGCCCCTCAAGGGACTACTGAAAGCTGGAAAACA